TGGTAGAGATTGTGTCTAGTTATAGAGTTGTCTAGCTGTAGACTAGAAGTTAGTTGGTAGAGACTGTGTCTAGTTATAGAACTAGCTAGGGGTGTGATATTAGAACTACTAGACACTAGTAGAAACCAGGACTAGAGTAGAATGTTGGCAAGATTTAGATTATTCTCAGGTATACCACAGATTCAGTTACATAACAGTTATATTAAAAACTCTCTGGTAAGCTTATTATAACTATACTATATTGACCAATATTAACATATCTTATAATTTATTCTATTCAACTAATTCAAATCTCCTAATACATGGCTAACCTTTTCAAGTCAATCTGTGTTCTGATATACGACCATCAAACATTCACACCATAGTTTTTGGCTTAAATATGTTCTTATACTTTCAACTAGGTTATAACTAACTCAGTTAGTATTGTATTTAGTTAGGTCTTTACTGTTTATAGTCAATATTTCTAAAGGTAATACTTCAAGGTTATAAACCATTACCTCTATTATCATCTGTTAGGTTATTTTATTTGTGTAAGTGATAAAATTGAGAAGAAAGTATGTCATGCATTTTAACATTAGTTATTTAATTGTCTAAGTTAAGTTATGAAATTGTGAAAATATGCAATTCGACATTTGATTGATGTGTCTTGACAATAGACAGTGTTCTGTACAAGTTTGGAGTATTAATAACTTGACTTGACTGTTATAGACAAATAGTAAATAATAACAGAATATTCTAAATATTAAAGTAATGACTGGTGTTGAGCACGAAGCAGACCATGCTTACTCTTTTGAAACACCTGATGGTATTTTTCTTTAGAGGGGTCCACTACTATACTACCTTTAATCTTGAATTTTTCATTCTTTAGATGAGATTTTTGATTGATGGAATTGTTGTGCTTGTACAGATTGTTATTACCTAGACACATATAGTACTATAAAGCTGACATTCAAAACAGTTTTGATAAATTTTGCTGATACAGCATGTTTTATATACAGGTAGGCCTACTGTAAAATATAATATTTACATTGTGTACTTTTATAGTTAACTTGAGAAACAGGCTTCTTCATTCTTGCTGATACAGCAACTTTTATATATTATAAGATTTGAACAACAGTTTAGAAGAGTAATGATATCAGTTGAGTCAGCTTTAAGCTGTCCCCATAGTTGAGTTCAGAAGCTTAAAGCTATCATTATAGCTTAAACTTTGACCATAGTAGAGATTAAACATTCACCATAGTAGAGATTAAACACTTAAAGCATTGACCACATTAGAGCTCAAATGCTTACAGCTTTCCTAAAGTTGAGCTGAAAAGCTTAAAGCAGACAGTTGGCGATAGTTCCCAGAGACACTCTTATGAACAAGCAGAGTCATTGTCATTGTCATAACTATTAAAGTTAAAAAGGTTAAAAATATAATAATATACAAAGAAAAACAAATAGTAATACAGTGATATTGAAGAGTTTGTTAATGTGTTTAGATAAACTCTGAATTCTATATTGTATATTGTTTAGATATTTCAAGGATCTTACATACAGTAGAGTAAAAATCATTTTAACAAAAGTAAATATTGATTTTAAACTTCATAGTGATATACTGTTAGTGGTTTTTCGACGGGGGAACCATGGTTCCCCAAGAATAAGGCTGGAACGGCTTTGCCCCCCCCCCCCCTCTTTCATACTTTTTATCATTCAACATAGTGAAAGAATGACCTGTGGCCCCCCTGGTAAATTTTGTGGCCTCTGAGAAACTCAATTGTGTACTGTCAGTACCAAATTATCATTGATTTAAAGTCAAATAATTTTTTGCTTAAGAAACTGATTTTGATCACAGATATAAGTTTTGAGAATTAGATTTCAATTATAAGCCATGGGTCGCCATTTGCAGAGGTTGATTTTAGTCTTAAATATATATAAATAGTCTTCTGAAATACTAGAAATGTATGAAAAAATCGCACAATTCCTTTAAAATTATCTCAAACTAGAAGTTTCATTTTCTTGTTCTATATATAACTATATAAGAAATGCTTCCTCAGTTTAACTTTCAAACAGGGATAATTCTGGATTTGAAGGCTCAAATTTTGACGGTGTGCTGTGACTATTATTACTGATAAGCTCAGCTAAAAAATTCCCAATTCTACGATTGATCAAACGAATGGTAAAACCTGTGCCTTTAATACATGTTGAAAATAACTAAGTTGGTAGTCTAATAGTGTATGATTAAGTAATAACCTCCAGTCACCACAGTTCACTATAGAGTTTTGTGTAAATAATATTTATATAACAGATGATAATGATAAGACAGGTTTAGTTACTGTATTTTTAACTCAGGGGATGTTACTACCCCAGACTTATTATTTTATACCCGATCAGACTCTAGTTGGTGTAGGTGTTTCTGAGGATTTGTGGTGAAAATTTATTTCTTAAAATTGTGTAGGTAAAATTCAAATTTATTTATTTTTTGATTTTGAGAACATTTTCAAATTATGCTAGCTTTTTGACTGAAATTTCAAGTTTAAAGGGCTTATTCATGTCCAGTATACCAGTACACAGATGTAAATTTGTATGGATAATCCGTGAAAGATCAATGCCAAGAGGTTTGGCCAGGTACTAAAAGGTTTGGCCAGGTACTAACTGGGAGAGAGGATCCTTAACTATGAACCTATGTTGTTATCCTTGTATTATCAAAGTCAAGAGGTTTTACCATGTACCAGCTGGTAGATAGGATCCTCATAAACATAACTTGTGATCCTTGTAAAATATGTTTCTATAGAGAGGATCCTCGTGAACCTGTGTTGTTATCCTTGTAAAATATTTTTCTATAGAGAGGATCCTTGTGAACCTTTGTTGTTATCCTTGTAAAATATGTTTCTATAGCAAGGATCCTCGTGAACCTTTGTTGTTACCCTTGTAAAATATGTTTCTATAGAGAGGATCCTTGTGAACCTTTGTTGCTATCCTTGTAAAATATGTTTCTATAGAGAGGATCCTCATGAACCTTTGTTGTTATACTTGTAAAATATAGATCTATAGAAAGGATCCTCGTGAACCTTTGTTGTTATCCTTGTAAAATATGTTTCTATAGAGAGGATCCTCATGAACCTTTGTTGTTATCCTTGTAAAATATGTTTCTATAGAGAGGATCCTTGTGAACCTTTGTTGTTATCCTTGTAAAATATGTTTCTATAGAGAGGATCCTCATGAACCTTTGTTGTTATCCTTGTAAAATATGTTTCTATAGAGAGGATCCTTGTGAACCTTTGTTGCTATCCTTGTAAAATATGTTTCTATAGAGAGGATCCTCATGAACCTTTGTTGTTATCCTTGTAAAATATGTTTCTATAGAGAGGATCTTCATGAACCTTTGTTGTTATCCTTGTAAAATATGTTTCTATAGAGAGGATCCTTGTGAACCTTTGTTGTTATCCTTGTAAAATATGTTTCTATTGAAAGGATCCTCGAGAACCTTTGTTGTTATACTTGTAAAATATAGATCTATAGAATGGATCGTCGAGAACCTTTGTTGTTATCCGTGTAAAATATAAATGTATATTTCAATAAGATAGTTTATCTATGTGAATAATTGTCTAACTGTCAGGGTTCATCTCAAGTAATTCTTTTCTCAGACAGATTTTAAACTTGTAATTATTTATAAGAGCTTGAAGTATGGTGCTTGACACGACTTGAAAACAGTAAATCTTGTAAGAAACCATACTTGACAATTTCTATATCAGTTTTAGAATTGGTATCAGTGCAATAAGGTTAGAGATATTATTTTACTAGTTTATATAGAGCCGAGTCAGGAAGTTTTAAATATTTCTGGATCTGAACCAAGTTATTATAAGATAAAAGAGTTTGATGATAAACATTGTAGAACTGTAAGATGTGATGTGTGCTGTTTATATAAAGTTTGATTAAATTTTAAGTAGCAAATTCTTTAAATTATATTGTAGTCTAGTATATTTGGAGAACCATTTTCATTCAAATTGTGTTGAGATATTGGGGGATTCCCATCAATAATGTTGTGTTGAGATATTGGGGGATTCCCATCAATGAAGTTGTGTTGAGATATTGGGGGATTCCCATCAATGAAGTTGTGTTGAGATATTGGGGGTATATTTTCGATTTACAAATTACTTATCAGTGTTTGCCAGTCATGTATGACTTCAAGGTAGAAAAAGGACAAATTGTGTTTAGTTCATCCTAATCATCAGGATAATGCTGAATCTTTATCGCTTTTGTAAAACGTATTAGTATGATAATCTCATATCGGTCTATATCAATATCATACCATTAAGGTTATTATCACCTAAAGGCTTGTTTATTATCACTATAAAACATGTTTGATTAATTGTAATAATCCACTATTATGAAACCATAGTTCTATAGTATTTTACCAGTAATATTTCAGATATAATTTGGGATTGAACTTGCTGAAGTAAAGTGGCTTTTGTAAGATGTTATCAATCTTGTATTGCTATTGATCTGAAGTCAATTGTTGACAAATATTAAACTTGAGATTTCATTTGAATAATTGAGGGACAAACGATTCAGGAATTACTGTGAACAGAACACAGAACATAGCACGTTTTACAGATTTGATGTTTTGAAAATTGTTCCCTTGAAAAATATGAAACTTTCAATTGACAATCCAAACCAGTTTAGGATTCACTCTCAACATTGAGTAGGTACTTTTTTGGTTCAGTTAAGGAATTGCAAAGAACATGGGAGTAGGTTCCATTCGGTAGGTCTACCAATAAAAGCAGACCATGCTTACTCTTTTTGAAACACCTGATGGTACTTCTCTTCTGGAGGAGTCCACTATTATACAACCTTTACTCTTGATTTTGCCATACTTTGGACGAGATTTTGATGAACAAAACTTGCTTATATAGATTTTAAAATTTGTCTACCAATAATTTATAAAATTTTCTTTTATTTTTCAGAAAATGAGTACTGGTTCAGGATCAAAGCTTGCGGTGGTTCGTGAAGGAGTGTTGATGGGAATCGGGAATCCATTACTAGACGTCACTATTAGCGCTAATCCCTCATTTCTTCAAAAATATCATCTACTCCCTAACAACGCTATCATCGCCGAGGACGAACATCATGATATGTTTTTGGAAATGGTGGAAAAACACAAACCAACGTACATTGCAGGAGGAGCTACGCAGAACAGCATTCGTGTTGCACAATGGCTTCTGCAACTTCCAAACGCTACGACTTTCTTTGGAGGAGTAGGAAACGATGACTTCGCTAAAATTTTGGAGCGAAAAGCTCGTGAAGTAGGAGTCAATGTACGATATCAAATTCACCCCGGGAGAAAAACAGGAATTTGCGGAGCTATAATAGTTGATGAAGATCGTTCCTTAGTTACAGAGTTAGGGGCTGCCGAACATTTCACTGTCGATTTTCTTAAACAATCTGAAAATTGGAAATATGTCGAACAAGCGAAATATTATTACATCGGAGGATTTCTACTTCCTGTTAGTCCCCAGTCGGTTCTAGAAATTCTAAAACATGCTTCAGACCACAATAAAGTAGTTGTAACAAATCTTCATGCCACGTTTCTATGTAAACATTTCGCCAATCCTGATTTAGATGTTTTAAAATATGTAGACATTTTGTTTGGAAATGGGGACGAAGCGAAGAAATTGAGTACAAAATTTAATTTTGGAACAGATGATGTTAAAGAAATAGCAAAGAAAACTTCTGAATTACCCAAATTTAATGAAACTCGTGATAGATTGGTGATTTTTACTCAAGGTCGCGAACCTACAGTTCTAGCTCAATCAGGGAAAATACGTGAAATACCCATAATTCAGGTGGATCATAACATCATCAAGGATACTAATGGCTGTGGCGATAGTTTTGTTGGTGGGTTTTTATCCCAGTTGGTCCAAGGGAAATCGATTGATGAATGTTTGAGGTGTGGATCTTACGCTGCTACAGAAGTAATTCAGAATTACGGTTGTACTTTTCCAGAAACGCCCAAATTTGATCATTGACCAATGGAAATAGAGTATTTGGATTCAACATAATCTCAAACAGAATTCGTCCAATGGATTGGTGTCTTTCTAAAACCAATCCTTAAACCTGCCACACCAAGGTATAATCAGTGACCAATGGAAATTGAGTGTTTGGATTCGAAATCATGTGAGGTTGGAACATCATTACTGTTGGCAGTGAAAAGAGTTTTCTAGATTTTGTGAGAGCCTCATGTCGTGTTGTTTACCTGCATTGCTTTACAATTACCTTTACTCAGAATTTTGACATTTTCACTTTTCAGGTTTAAAAGAAGGGTAAACCCTGATTGAAAGAGCAGTATTTGCTACTTGGATTAAAGCTTCATTTATTGTAAGATCTAATAAGTGGATTAGTGGATTCATCCCTGATTTTCCACGAAAGCAACTATGTGTGTGACTTGTGTATTGAAGACTTTTGTTACCTCATTGCATTGAAGACCTGTAAACGAAAGCTACAAAGGGTTGTCGATTGAAGCCTTTTAACCTTCATAGATTGAAGAGTTCTCATTTCTCATCAAAGTTGTGAAAATGCTGTTTTTAAAGTATTTAATTTATTTTTTGCTACTATCATTTATTATTGATAATTTAATTATATTTCCTACTTGAAACTGAACATCACACCAATAACAGTGTCTTGTCCATTCACACCTTGACAACATCTTAGTGCAACAGACACATATCTGATGGATTGTTTACAATTAAAGACAATATGATTCACTGGCTGTACGAAATTGTCTTTTCTTGTCTGTTTTTTATACTTCAATCCCTGTTCTTCAATCCCTGTTCTTCAATCCTATGCACTATTGAGTGATCAAAACTACAATTTGGAAGAAAACCTGTTGTTAATATCCAGCCCATTTAGATCGAGTCATGAATTTAATTATTTATTTTTGTATAAACCAACCATAAACTGAGGTCTAGTCCTAGTGAAATAATAACCAAATAATCTTGTGCATCCCAAAGCCATGATATGCCTTCATTGATTTTGTAATAATTTAAGTATTGATATCAGAGTTCTGTTTCTTTAGAAGATTTTATAATAAAGATTCTTATTTTCAAAATCAAAACAATAATTGTAAGATTTTTTGGAAAAGGCAGAACAGAATGAAGTTACTTGTTTTAGAATAGTATCTGATTTGAATAATTTTGTGTAATTTTATTATTCAGTAAATAAATTAGTTAAATATTAGATTTGAAGATGTAGTTTGTCAGTGCTGTTAGATTTTATTTTTTGATGAATGTTTTGAACTGAAAGTTATATTTTTGAAAGTTTTGAAAGTTTGGTTTATGATCAGAAAAAGATGTTTATATACCACAGAGAGAATTAAGATATTGATCAGGACATTCTACTGTTATATCATTTTACCAGGGAAAAACAACACTCATTTGTCCAAGCTATTTAAAAAAGTAAAATCAATATTAATATATTGTCATTGTGAATCTGAAAAGTTAACAGAATGTTAGTAGAATTGATTTAAAACTTATCTAAGATTCTATTTGAGAATGAATTTGATTACATACTTTCATTAGACTTTATTTCCATTTCAACTCATTTGCATAATTCGTGAATACTAATTAGATGCCATTTGTTCTTTAGTTAATTAGTTAGTAGTAATTAGTGACATTTAAATGGCAACATTGTAATATATAGTAGCAGATTGTATCAGTATAGTTCGACCATTTTGTTTTCATAAATTATCAAGACAAACAGATGAGGTGTGTGATTATTGATACAGTAGAAAATAGAGGAAACAGATATGCTAAATACAGGTTCAGACTCAATGAAGACAATATTGTTTTCTTATAATACCCTAATACAAGATTAGGTTCTCTTATTTTTGCCAAATCAATAATTTTATCACTTTTTGTTTCTTTTAGGTATTTTCCAAATAGGCTAAATTTTTGAATTGTCAAATTCACCTGATATCAATCTAAATAATTGTACTATTTTACATTATTCTGTCATTTAAGTTTTTTTTAAGAAATTGCTGTGCTCACTGATTTTTTCTATATCTTATAGAGGAGAGGGTTTTGAAATTATTTCCACTTTGTATATTGTGCCGCCTTATTAAGACAAGAAAATAAAAGACTTAAATTTTGAGTGGCGTTAATATGATATAGAGGTTGGGTGGTGTTAGTATAATACAGAGGTTGGGTGGTGTTAGTATAATACAGAGGTTGGGTGTTGTTAATATATAACAGAGGTTGGGTGATGTTAATATATAACAGAGGTTGGATGATGTTAATATAATACAGAGGTTGGGTGGTGTTAATATAATACAGAGGTTGGGTGATGTTAATATATAACAGAGGTTGGATGTTGTTAATATAATACAGAGGTTGGGTGATGTTAGTATAATACAGAGGTTGAGTGATGTTAGTATTATACGGAGGTTGGATGATGTTAATATAATACAGAGGTTGGGTGGTGTTAATATAATACAGAGGTTGGGTGATGTTAATATAATACAGAGGTTGGGTGATGTTAATATGATACAGAGGTTGGGTGATGTTAGTATAATACAGAGGTTGAGTGATGTTAGTATTATACGGAGGTTGGGTGATGTTTATATAATAATGGGTGGTGTAAAATGAATTTAGGGTGGTGTTAATGTAATACAGCTCTAGATGGCAGCACTGTACAGAATGAAAACAGTAGAACAGTTCTAACTTGATCAGATTTTACTCCTTATCTTATTCATGATTTTAAATTTTGACATGACGGTGTAAAATTCGATTGATCGTGTCTGTTGTAGAGATTTAAATCAACAACATTCGTGTCTGTTATTTCTTCGGAAGAATGTAAAAAAAAACTTAATGGAACGGGTACACGAACAGTCTTGGTGCCTTCAATTGCATGCTCCGCACGTGATTATCAACATAGTGGAAAATGACAGACTGGAAATATTTGTCTTCTTGCGTGCTTGAGCGCGTTGCAAAACTCATGATAAGACTCTAGTCGGTGACAAAAATTGCCTCCCAAGAACGTTCGTGTGCCCTGACCATGATCAACTGCTAAACTTAATCGAAATTGTCCAGACCTAAAAGTAATCGAAAACATCCAGTCCCAAATTGATCTACCGATTATGGATTAAAATCTGATCAGTTTGCAAGAACTTTATGATTCTTATTACTTAGATTAATTCCAATTCTGTTGTAAAAACTATAATGGCTAAATCTTTAAATTTATTCTATATACTTTAACTAGATGTCAAATATTACAGCAATATAAATCTCAATTAATATATTTGTATTCAATCGAATAGTTTCCAATATAATGTTAAATGTTACGCATAAATTCAGATTTTTTCGTATATTTGAAAATTTGGGAAAGTCAGTATAAATTGGATCATTTTGAAAATAATGGGTACACAAAAGATTTTAACTCTTATTTTGATAAATTCTTAATAAACTTTCTGGTGATTGGTATTATCTTCAAATTAATCTATCAAATATTAAATGTTCAAATATTAATTATGATTCAAAGTCGAAAAACGTTTGGCAAATAGTCTTGATATATTTTTCATTTTGAATAATTTTACAGTTGATAAATGAAATATTTATTGAAATTCAAGACTTGTTTAACAAATTGATTGATATTTCAATAATGAAGGATGGTTTGAGTGATTGAAGTTTGTTTATGTATTTCTATGAGTGTAGTGTATGGTGTTAGGAGAATGGCACCACAAATATTGTAAATAGTTACCACAAATAATTTATATATTTATTCAGTTCATTTGCAAATTTCTAAAAATAAATTCTGCCAAATTTTTCATTGAAGTAATATTTAAAATTCTTTCAGAGCGTAGATTTCAATTTTTTAACAGATTGTTTAAAATGTTCGGAACTGAAATTTCAATCTGTTCAGAAAGAGTATTTAAATTCTTTTGGAAAGGATTGTTTGTATTCTGCTATGAGCCTCTTTTTCACAAAGATATTTGGAGAAATTATTCTAGAAATTTGAAATGTTGTAACTTGTGTTAACTAGGCATGAGACAGAAATAGAAATTTTCAAGGATACAAAACTATGGGACGTAAACTTCCATTTTATTTTCTGCGACCCGGTTGCCTAGTTACCACAGCGTTACGCCCTATATCTATATATAATCATTGTAAAATAGTTCACTGGGATATCTGGTCTGTATCTATTTATAGTAACTGTCACAATATCGTAATGTATCGCACCTATTTTAGTCAGGGACGTCAGGGTTCATACCAGGTCATTTCTCCCAAAATAATGATTAATTTCTGTTTGCCCAATTTTATTTGGGTATTTCTGTAACTGAAATAGAAATTCGAGAAATTCCAAACTTGTAATTATAAATGACTCTGACAATCTGGAGAGAAAAGGGTTTTTTATGTTTTGGAGAATACGGCCCTAGACTCTGGCATCATTCATTAGTATGAACCCAATGAAATATTATTTGTAAAAAATGAGTAAAACATGAAAAGCTAAATCATTTTTTTTTTAACAAATCCTTAAATTTGGGCCTAATTTTGAAGCACTTAAAATATGAAAATCTAATATATTTTAATTTGAAAAGTTTTGACAAAATTTTAGATCTGATTTTGTCATTTTATAAAAAAAATTCCAAATCTAATGGGGATGTGTCCTACCTCCCATGTATTCTTCAGTTCTACTTTCATGTTTTACCTCACTCCTCATTTTCACAGCCCCACCCCCCCACGTATAGTAAAAATATATAGTAATATCTATATTATAACAAGATTTCATCATGTTTTGAAGTTTTGAGGATGAATCATCCCGGTTGTATAAAGTTTCATTCTTTCATTTCATTGTTCATACGCCATAATACCTTATTATTGAATATAGGGAAACATCATAGACCCTTATTATTGAATATAGGGAAACATCATAGACCCTTATTATTGAATATAGGGGAACATCATAGACCCTTATTATTGAATATAGGGGAACATCATAGGCCCTTGTTATTGAATATAGGGGAACATCATAGGCCCTTGTTATTGAATATAGGGGAACATCATAGGCCCTTGTTATTGAATATAGGGGAACATCATAGACCCTTATTATTGAATATAGGGGAACATCATAGACCCTTATTATTGAATATAGGGGAACATCATAGACCCTTATTATTGAATATAGGGAAACATCATAGACCCTTATTATTGAATATAGGGAAACATCATAGACCCTTATTATTGGTGATAGCACATTAACCTCTATAAACTATATTGGTGAGTTGAGGGGGACGTAAAGCCCTAGGGTTAGGAATTTTAGGTTGTAACATTGAAGTAAAGTAATGTTACGAAAGGACAGGGTTAGGGTAATGGATTTATTGATTAGGACGTCAAACCCCATTGTTGATTGAAGGGGACATGTTATGAGCCCCTTATTGATATTTAGTCGAGGGGGGACATGGTGCCCTTTGTAATAATTGATTTCGTAATTATTGGGATCATGGAGTATCTTTTTCTTAGTAAATGAAATATTGAGTCCATTCCTTAATTGAAGGGGTCATTAAAACCACTTGATGAGATATTGATATCTTCTTTGGCCCTTTCAGTTTCTTACCAGTAAATAAGGGATGTTGGATGAGACATTAAACCATTTCAGGTTTCGTATGTGTATATATTGAAAATATTATTGTCCCACAAAAAGCAATCTGATTAAAGTTCTGATTGGTGAATTGTGAAGACAAGACTTAAATTTCATTTGAATTTTTTTTGTTTTTGTTAAAAAGCTTTATTTTTTGTCTAGTGTATAAGAATTGAGGATTTTTTTTTTTTTTTTCATCTTATTTTATTATTTTGTTAGTTTAAAGCTACCATGATTAAAAAATATATTTACCAGATTTCATGAAGTTTAAAGTTATTATTGAGAAGTGTGAATGTATTATTTATAATTTGATTGTAATTAGGTCATTGAGTAATAGTGTGATTAAATTGAGCTTTTGAGGTTTGTAAGGTTTTTATTCTGAAAAATAAGCTTTGAATCTTTCAAAAGATAGTTCGAAACTAGTTCATACCACAAGCTCAAACTCTGATTCTTAACCACAAGGTTTTAAGCTTTCTGAGAAATTGCCATTTTGAAATCTGTCTTTTGATGCTTATTTTCAGCTTTTCAAAATTTAGCTGTTTATGTAGCTCTACCATCATTGAGAAATGTTCACTTCTCTTAAAGATTCTGGTTACACTTTAAGATCATCTTGAATATTTAAAGTGAATGTTATCTTAATTTTCCATGAAGGTGCAGGATCTGAGTTTAGCATTTAAAATAGCTTGAAAATAGCTAGTAATTTAGAAAACAGAATAGAAAATCATTTCAGCTATTTTGAGCTAATAAAAAGTGCTATTTCTGAGTTTATCAGATTTTATTTCTAAAATAGTAATAGCAAAGAAGAAAAAAAAAGAAAATAGCTAGATAAACTCCTTTCCTACAGCTTTCTCTAATTTTCTGGATCTGGTTAGAATTTTTGACCCTGGTGTTTATGGGACAGGGGTCTTTGTATTACTATAAAACTTTGGAAACCTCAGAGTTACCCCAAATCCAACTTTTCTCCTAATGTTACAAAGTTTTATTTCTTTAAGTTTAAATTTTGTCTCAAACTAAATAACTGTGTTCTGATTATTTCACTATGTATAAAATATTAATAAAGGTCTGAATGATATTTTGGTGTTATATTTTAAACGAGGGGTTTTCAACCTGAAGGGTAATTATCCCCAAGAGGGTAATTTTGAAAGGTTTTGGGAAGTAATGAGGCACTTTGTAGTCTAGCATAAAAACTTTGGACAATTATAATTAAGGTCATTCTATTCTGTCAGGCTATATATTTCTTGACATAAAGAGATTGTAGGGGAAGCCTGAAAATGAAAATGAAATGAATGGAGTTTTACGTCCTACTTTTCTGCACCATGTGGGTAGGGGAAGCCTGAGAGAAAATCATGAAATGATAAGGACTGATAGAATGTAGAGGGGTAATGTAATTAATGAGGAACCTGAAAGAGGTAATAGGAAAAAAAAAGTTTGAAAACCTGGTTGTTGACATTGTCTCCAATGATTACAGGGGAAACTGTCTTGGTAAAATATCCCTTAATTGCACACTGCTTTAAAAAGTCACTAAACTCTCGGAAATAATTACTAAAGAGAAGGCTAATGTTGCTGTCTCCGTAAAATGTCCCTCATTGCACACTGCAGTGGAATTAATGCTGGTTATCATCAATCATGTCACAATACGATACATATCTTTCACTATGATGTACCCATTTACAAGTAGTAATCTCTTCCACATAGTTTCCCTTCAGCACATAACATACCCACAATAAACTATAATAACTGATCAAAACAAGAATATACTTCTATAACACATAACATACCCACAATAAACTATAATAACTGATCAAAACTAGAATATACTTCTATAACACATAACATACCCACAATAAACTATAATAACTGATCAAAACAAGAATATACTTCTATAACACATAACATACCCACAATAAACTATAATAACTGATCAAAACTAGAATATACTTCTATAACACATAACATACCCACAATAAACTATAATAACTGATCAAAACAAGAATATACTTCTATAACACATAACATACCCACAATAAACTATAATAACTGATCAAAGCAAGAATATACTTCTATAACACATACGTACCCACATTAAACTATAATAACTGATCAAAACAAGAATATACTTCTATAACACATAACATACCCACAATAAACTATAATAACAGATCAAAACAAGAATATACTTCTATGACACATAACATACCCACAATAAACTATAATAACTGATCAAAACAAGAATATACTTCTATAACACTAAAATAACTGATGAAATTAAGAATTTTAATTTTGGTTTTTAATTCAGTATTTACTCAATTAAAATATTTTGATTATTGATGGATTTTTGATCAATATTCTACCATTGATAATCGATACCCATCCTTTTTTGTGGGTAGGTAAATGACAAGTTAACATCCGCTTCTAGTAGATATTGATATCACAAACTAGGTAGTTGTTGGTTGATGACAAGTTAACATCCGCTTCTAGATAACTGATATCACAGACTAGGTAGTTGTTGGTAGATGACAAGTTAACATCCACTTCCAGCTAACTGATATCACAGACTAGGTAGTTTTTGGTAGATGACAAGTTAACATCCACTTCTAGATAACTGATATCACAGACTAAGTAGTTGTTGGTAGATGACAAGTTAACATCTGCTTCTAGATAACTGATATCACAGACGAGGTAGTTGTTGGTAGATGACAAGTTAACATCCACTTCTAGATAACTGATATCACAGACTAAGTAGTTGTTGGTAGATGACAAGTTAACATCTGCTTCTAGATACTGATATCACAGACTAGGTAGTTGTTGGTTGATGACAAGTTAACATCCACTTCTAGATAACTGATATCACAGACTAGGTAGTTGTTGGTTGATGACAAGTTAACATCCACTTCTAGATAACTGATATCACAGACTAGGTAGTTGTTGGTTGATGACAAGTTAACATCCACTTCTAGATAACTGATATCACAGACTAGGTAGTTGTTGGTTGATGACAAGTTAACATCCACTTCTAGATAACTGATATCACAGACTAGGTAGTTGTTGGTTGATGACAAGTTAACATCCGCTTCTAGATAACTGATATCACAGACTAGGTAGTTGTTGGTAGATGACAAGTTAGCATCCACTTCTAGATAACTGATATCACAGACTAGGTAGTTGTTGGTAGATGACAAGTTAGCATCCGCTTCCAGCTAACTGATATCACAGACTAGGTAGTTGTTGGTAGAAGACAAGTTAATGTCTGATATCACAGACTAATTAACAAGAATGATATATTTTACAGGTAGAAGTACTGACTGGTTCTGATAAAGGGAAAATTGGTACTATATCAAGAATATATGATGATACAAACCTGTGTATAGTGAAAGGTTTAAACTTGGTAAGTTATTTAACCCTCTGTTATTGTGTTATTTATTCTGGATGGTTTTCTGCTGGAGATCAACCCAGTCTATATCAGCTTATTGACATCACTGGGAAGACTGACTTCTTCATAATTACAAAACCAAAAGGATATAAGCTTAGTCCCAATGAAGATATTCTGTATAGGTCAGAACTATCTATCTCTATTCCAACCTCTGATGACAGTGTTTGTCCTGAGTAGAGTCAGAAAAACTAAGCCCTTTTCCACATCTTCGAAGATGCGTTTTTTCTAACATTTAAATATGTATATTTAAAACCCCCACACATTCGGGAAAGAATTCACACAATAAAGGACTAGTTTTACAGTCTCTACACCAGCCTACAACTGTCAAAATAACTATCAGTGGTATATGTTTTGGTTTTATTCTATTTTGATAATTGTAAATGTAGAAATTTAAACTTGAAGAAGAAGCGATAGATTGTGAAGAGAAACCATTATTAGTCACCAGTGAAGTAGCACTGATAGACCCAGCTGAACAGTAAGACTTTTTCATTATTTTACAGTTACTGTTAAGAAAATTCTGCTGAAAATTTGCCCAATTTTATTTATTGTACCAACAGAAACAACTATTATTGCACAAGGATAACGACTTAGGTTCTCAGAGGTTCCTTTTTACCAGCTGGTCCTTGGTCAAAACTCTTGGCATTGACCTTACAAGGATAACAAATTAGGTTCACTATTAAGGATCCTTTCTACCAGCTAGTCCTTGGTCAATCCTGTTGGCATCGATCTTTCCCATATTATTCGTACCCATTTACAGCTGGGTTGACTGGAACTATGAGCGAAGATGACTTATTCAACGATTTATGTAACCAAACAAATGACGTCTGTAGAGAACCAATGCTCTAACTGACTGTACTATAGAACTTCACAAGAGTTTTAGAAGGGCTTTACTTCAATAAGAATGCAATGACAGAAACCACCTTTGATTGTTATGAGTTTGTCAAAGTTAATGCTCCAGGTAAAATTTCCTTCATTGCACATTGCATGGTGTTGCCTGTCTTCATTAGCTCAATCAGGTGCAGAAAAGTTTTTAAAAAAATGTTATTTCATTTCAAAAAGTCTACATAGTTTATGTTTATTTAGTCCTGGTGACAACTATAATTGTATTTAATGAAATGAAATAAATTTTTATATCCTACTCTTCAGCAGACGGGCAACGCCATGCAGTGTGCAATGAGGGAAATTTTTCCAGGACAGACTATTAGCCTTTTCTTTTTGGATTTCCAACTGTAGAAGGATCAATAATGTGCACTGCCTGTAGCAATCCAGGCCTTGGTTTATTATATCTTTCTAATGATATATTTCAGGACTAAGACAGATGTAGAATGGAGATATACTGCAGACGGAGAGAGAGTTCGTGTATCGTTAAAATCGGGACGTATTATTCCATTGTCAGCTACCTATAATAACACTGAGTATGATGGTGTTGATAAGGCAGCTTATAAAGGTAGATAGACTATATTACAGGATAGATAGACTATATTACAGAATAGTTAAACCTGTTAAACTGTACCTATATATCTATCCTACCTCTAGATAAACACTTGTATACATCACTACTTTCTAATGAGGAGTTAATAATATCACAAGTATCTGAAGTTTCCTTAGCATATTATTAAATACTGATATCATACATGTGTACAGGTCAGAAAAAAAAATCTGGAGATTTGCCTTGAAAAATCTTGAGATTGGGTGAAAAGTCAGGATATTTTTCCAAAGCGCGTAAATTTGTGATTTAAAACTCCAAATTGATTTAATTTTTTTTCAGATTAAGCCTTGTAAATTAATTAGAGTGATCATAGGCCTATACATGATACAGTAAAAATTAACAAATCTATAATTAGGGATAGGCCTACCCAGGCAAAATTATTCTAGAAATAGTGCCTGATATTATAAGTTTAGGGGCCCAAAAAATTTGACATTGTCATTCTTCAGTATTGATTTAATCAAAAATAATGTCATGGTGAAACAATGTTTGATATACCCAGTTCTTGATAAACTTTCATTCCGTTGTTTTATTCTGTAGCTATTATTCTTCAGGTTAGGTCAAAAGGTTATTTTGAAAGCTCAAGAGGTCCATTGTTAGACCCAAACTGTAGTGACTACATTAATAATAATGGAAAGTCTAGTCTAATTTTAATTAAAACTGCGATGAAGCGAGAGATAGTTGCTAAACACTCATAAAATTCTAGTCTATGCAAAAATACATTACAAATATCCCTCATTGCATACAGCATGGTGTTACCATTAGCTGCAGTAAGACATAAAGATCCATTTAATTTAATATTTTTTGTTTTAGACAGTGAGAAAGATACACCAGACAAGGAGTTAAGAAATGTGACCTACATACCTAAACTATCAACATTTGAAGAAGATATTATGCAGGAAATGGGAATTGTGGAAACGAGAGTAAGACAGAAAAAATACTGGTATTAAATATAACATGTCTGAGATTTGTTGATGTATAGTTTGATGATATGAGAGATTTTAGTCTGAATTTTATCATCATCATAGAAAAAATGTTGTCTAATGACCAACCTTCACGGAGCCATGTTTAACATTGTTATATAATTAACTAACTGATTTCTAACAGTCATTTTTGGTCCTATCATAAGATATAATCCCTAAAATGATCAGTATTTAATTACTGTTTTCTGATAATATTGACATATCGTCTGACTCTAGGATTGATGTTTTAGATTGTGAATCATAAAATTTCTCAATTTTGGGTGAATTACTAGTAACAGAAATAAGATGTTTCCAATAGAATCTGTCTAAAATGTGAATTGAGAAAAATCGAATTTGTTTTGGGTTTTGAATCAGTACTCATCAAAAACATACCTCTAATATAGATCCATGTTTTACAATGTGTATCCACTATCCAGACATTTTGGTTCCGATTTATTTAGGTTCAAACATTTATAATTTATTAGGATTTTGAATCAGTTTTATTAAGTATTAAAAATGTGAACTTTTATCAAAAAACACTTCTGATGCAGACGGATGTTTTAGCATTCTGGGAATATTTGAGAATGGTTTGTGTTAAGAATTGAATTAAATGTGTCTGTTACAAATACAGCTCTAAATTTCCATGTTTTCTGCAGGCTGATCCATACATTATAAGAATGGGTGAAGTTACCCACAGAAATAAATGAAACAAAATACCTAGAGCTGTATGTAATCAGATTGTTGTGTTACTGTATGTAATTATTTTATAAAGTGGTTTTTAATGAACAATGTTTTATCAAACCATATCAATATAATAATAACTTCTCCTGATAGTTTGTCTGGGCTGTATCACTGTCAGTTAGACTGTTGGAATGTCGTCTTGTAACCTTAAAATGGTATAGATAATCCAGAAATGCTCGATGTCAAGAGGATGGTGAAGAACCAGCCATTACAAAGGTTCCCCAACCCAAAAATAAGTGGGGATTCTGTCTTTCCTGTTGGGTTATTTGTATCCAGTGTGAGTAAGAATAAGGCGTATTATTATAGAAATGTTTTATTGTATGTTAACTGATGTCTTCAGTAATACGGACGTCTTGGATTGTTCTGAAATATAATTATTTTATTATAATACTAGTATTATACTAGGGATTGTAAAGAGGTTTTCTTAACTCTTTATGTGTATGGAGGACACTAACAGCATCGATGTAAACCATTCCAATTTTCAATCAGACTTCTGTAGTTCCTGCAATTCCACTTAAACTTGGCGTTTTATGACATCACTTGGTTCAGACACCAAGTTTTAGTGGAATTGCAGGAACCACAGACATCTGATTGAAAATTGGAATGGTACAAATTGATACTATCAGTATCCCCGATACAAATAACAAATTAAGAAAACCTCTTTACAATCTCTTTAACTTTTCCTCCAATGGCATTTGTGATAGAGACATTACAATCTAGCCATAAAGTTTTTATATTGCTGGAGCCACTGGAATTAGATAGGAAGCTACGTGAACTCGATGCATATACAACCAACTTTAAAATCCCTTTAATTCAGTCACCAAAAAGTTAAATATATTGTGTTGTGTTATTCTAAGAATCAACTACGTACCAATGGATTGGGTCTGAATTTATAAGCTAACATCATTCTCTTTCTATAAGCATCAAATTCATCATCACCCTGGTTTAAATTAGACTCTTTCTCTACTCCAAATCCCATATTATCTACACTAGTATTTCCCCTGTAATAACATTACGTTTTAAAGATTAGACTTGGAATGTTTGGACTTCATTTAGCCATAATGACAAATATTTAATTCTGCCAATAGAAGCTTATAGAGCAGGGCAATATCACAATATAGATATATATCCCTATAGTTTCGAATGAACAGCGCGACTGTTGATAGAACATTATATTCACTGCACAAAAAAACAGGAAATACCATCTTATATCAGAATAAGTTATAACCTAAATATAGAACAGGGAAAAACCCATCAATATTACATTTAATTCATATTGACTGAGTGTAAGGATGTTGTATGGGGTCACAGTCGGTTAGAGCATTGGTTCGTTCGCAGTTGTTTTGCTTGATTACACCCTACAAACCATGGTCGTGGGTTCTAAACCCTGTCAGATAGTGAGAATCTGATGACCTTGAATCTTTGTTTAGTATTCCAGTCGACCCCGCTGAAAATGGGAACAGATAATCTGGAAAGATCATTGCAACCAAGAGGTTAGGTTGAAGACCAGCGTGTAGAAATGAACCTACGATGTCATCTATTTTTCCTTTTCTTTTATCTATTAGTTGTCATGGCAACATTTGATCCTATAAGAATGGATGATAAAACTTACTTATTGACAGGTTGGGTGATACCCTGAGCCTCGGGACCTAGCCCCTCTCCTTCCTGCCAGCCTAATTTCTGTAACATTTTATACCCGATATTCTCACACGTTATTTTAAACTCTTTATAATCAGAATAATCTGGCGTTCGACCTTCTTTTAAAGCCTGCAAAAAAATAGAAATTACAGGTCAATATCAGTCAATATCAGTCAATATCAGTCAATATTAGCCAATATCAGTCAATATCAGTCAATATTAGCCAATATCAGTCAATATCAGTCAATATTAGTCAATATCAGTCAATATTAGTATATCAGTCAATATCTGTCAATATTAGTCAATGTCAGTCAATATTAGTCAATATTAGTATATCAGTCAATATCTGTCAATATTAGTCAATGTCAGTCAATATTAGTCAATATCAGTCAATATTAGTATATCAGTCAATATTAGTCAATATCTGTCAATGTCAGTCAATATTAGTCAATATCAGTCAATATTAGTGTTTTAAATGATAGGGAAAAAAAACCTGGAAAATCTACCAACTTACAGAAGCAATCAGTTTGAAAAGTTTAAATGCATTATGTTGATGTCTGAATCAACGCCTAGAGAATTTCAAAATAAAACTGACCTTGTATGTTTCCATAAATTTCTCTAATTCTTGAGGCGGCAGAAAATCACCAATGAAATGTTTTCCTCTGTTAGAATCTGTTAACTGGTCGGCCCATTCTAGAATTAATTAATTAATTAATCAATCGTTAATCAGGATAATTAAATTAAATATAATAACAACATTTATAACTTCATCTTTCCTTATCAAACCAGTCGACATAGCCAACCAATGGATCAAGGAGCATTCTATAATTAAGTAATGAATCGTTTATCTGGATAATCTATCTGGATAATCTATCTGGATAATCTAGATAATCTATCTGGATAATCAAATCACAACAAATATCATCATGAATTTTCACAACTTAACAACTAGTGACAATGTAGTAAATGTACATAATTTGAGTCAAAAATATATTACTGAAAAGAAGCCAGAATCTTATCAGCAAAAACTCCAAACTCGCTACTCAAAAATTGAAAAACTGCCAAATATATGTAAAATTTTAGAAGTATTACCTCTGGTAGCATTCATTTCTGTCATACGTTTTTTATGTTCCCAAGTTCCACCTTCAGTGTCTTCATCAGAATCATATTCATATTGAGGTTTGACTTTTATACCAGGTAGTTCAGACATCAACATAGCTTCTTTAGCTTTCTTCTGGGCCAATATCAGTTCATACATCATATTCAACTACAAATAATTCATTTATATAAATAACATATACTTACTTCTGTTTCAAGATCAAAATATAGAAAATGTTCAAACTATTGATAAATTTTTAACATGAGACCACTAAATAACTTGTATGTTTTCATATACACAGATATGCCTAGCAACATACGCCCACTTAATAAATTTCTAATTCCAATTCATGTGAAATTGAACACCATCTTAATGTGGCAGATGGGCTGACAGACGGACAAGGTGGCAATATGCGTAGGCATATAAAAATGAAAATTGATGACAAACTCTTTATCTATTGAACACCTCAATGAAAATTAAACTTCAAACCTCTTTTTGCTCTCGTATTTGTTGCATCTGTTCTGAATTAATATTATCACTTCCGACCATCTTCCTGGCAAAATCTTGTACAGTCGGATAGTGGGGAGCTGAAAAGATAAGAGGGAGGGTAACAAATTAGCGGAATACTGTCTGAAATTGTGAAGGATCTCCCAATAATACATATTAGCATACCATGTTTCATCAAGAACTGATAAAAATTGTAGCTTCTATCGTGCCTACAAGCCAAATTTGCTGCATTTTTACTTTGTCAAAGGCAATAATTCTGAAACCCGAAAAGGTAAGAGGTTGGGTAACAAATTGGTAGAAATTGTGAAAGATAGGCTCCTACTATAATGAAACCCCCTACAGTTTACAAGAGGTTAATTAACTACAGATTAGCTACTTTTGTATCTTATTTCAATGCCGAATTGTGATTTAGAAGGGGTGTCGATTTATTGAGGTTTTTCTTCTAAATATGCTAGTTTAGAGGAAATGACATTTCACAGAATCACATATTATTGGATATTAGGGTGTATTGAGAAGAAAGCACTGACCGAGGTCATAGGGCAATAGAAAGGCTTATTGTGGTTTTAGGGTGTAATGAGACGAGTCTCAATAAAAGCACTGGCCTGGGTCACAAAGCAATAGATAAGCTTATTAATTATGTTGGTATGTGCTTGTGAATATATATGAAACTCACCTGCTGGAGTAGGAGCCTGTACAGTTGATATCCCTCCCAGCTGTATATTGGTGACAACCCCCACCCCTCCACTACCCCCAGGGATAGACATCATAGGTACCGGGGTAGCAGGTTGTGACTCCTCATTTCCCCATCGACTCTTTCTCTTTCGTTTCTTACGTTTATCATCACTACCTGTCAAATAAAAAGAAGCCAAGAGGTAACAATCAGATTTTAAATCTTACAAAATTTATTTGGCAAAGAGAATATTTTCGGAGCCAAAGACCAGCCAGTAAATAAAATCGTTAGAACCTAAGTTGTCAAGGGGTTCAGTCAAGGACCAGCTGTAGACAAGTCGTGAGGTCATTGTCCAGAAATTTGGTTAAGGACCAGCTGATAGACAAGATCCTTGAAAACCTAAGTTTTGATCATTGTCAAGAAATTTGGTTAAGGACCAGCTGATAGACAAGATCCTTGAAAACCTAAGTTGTGATCATTGTCAAGAACTTTGACCAGCTGATAGACAAGATCCTTGAAAACCTAAGTTGTGATCATTGTCAAGAACTTTGACCAGCTGATAGACAAGATCCTTGAAAACCTAAGTTGTGATCATTGTCAAGAACTTTGACCAGCTGATAGACAAGATCCTTGAAAACCTAAGTTGTGATCATTGTCAAGAAATTTGACCAGCTGATAGACAAGATCCTTGAAAACCTAAGTTGTGATCATTGTCAAGAACTTTGACCAGCTGATAGACAAGATCCTTGAAAACCTAAGTTGTGATCATTGTCAAGAAATTTGACCAGCTGATAGACAAGATCCTTGAAAACCTAAGTTTTGATCATTGTCAAGAACTTTGACCAGCTGATAGACAAGATCCTTAAGAATTTAAGTAATTATCCTTGTAAAATATGGATGCCTTTTTTTTAATTTTTTATTCTGAAAACAAATGACAAAACAAATCTACCTTCTGCCTCTTCTGTATCAGCCTCATGACCTCTGTCAGCAGATTTCGGTACCAAGTTTGAAACAATAACACCGGCAGGTTTTGGTGCCGTTACTTTTCTCTTTGTCTGCATCTCTTTACAGAAATACTGATACGCTTCAGAATCTTCTTTATATAAAAACCTAGAGGGTAGAGAAATAATCTTTATATAGAAACCTAGAGGGTAGAGAAATAATCTTTATATAGAAACCTAGAGGGTAGAGAAATAATCTTTATATAAAAACCTAGAGGGTAGAGAAATAATCTTTATATAGAAACCTAGAGGGTAGAGAAATAATCTTTATAAAAAAACCTAGAGGGTAGAGAAATAATCTTTATATAAAAACCTAGAGGGTAGAGAAATAATCTTTATATAGAAACCTAGAGGGTAGAGAAATAATCTTAATATAAAAACCTAGAGGGTAGAGAAATAATCTTTATATAGAAACCTAGAGGGTAGAGAAATAATCTTTATATAAAAACCTAGAGGGTAGAGAAATAATCTTTATATAGAAACCTAGAGGGTAGAGAAATAATCTTTATATAAAAACCTAGAGGGTAGCGAAATAATCTTTATATAAAAACCTAGAGGGTAGAGAAATAATCTTTATATAGAAACCTAGAGGGTAGCGAAATAATCTTTATATAAAAACCTAGAGGGTAGAGAAATAATCTTTATATAAAAACCTAGAGGGTAGAGAAATAATCTTTATATAGAAACCTAGAGGGTAGAGAAATAATCTTTATATAGAAACCTAGAGGGTAGAGAAATAATCTTTATATAAAAACCTAGAGGGTAGAGAAATAATCTTTATATAAAAACCTAGAGGGTAGAGAAATAATCTTTATAAAAAAACCTAGAGGGTACAGAAATAATCTTTATATAAAAACCTAGAGGGTAGAGAAATAATCTTTATAAAAAAACCTAGAGGGTAGAGAAATAATCTTTATATAAAAACCTAGAGGGTAGCGAAATAATCTTTATATAAAAACCTAGAGGGTAGAGAAATAATCTTTATATAGAAACCTAGAGGGTAGAGAAATAATCTTTATATAGAAACCTAGAGGGTAGAGAAATAATCTTTATATAAAAACCTAGAGGGTAGAGAAATAATCTTTATATAGAAACCTAGAGGGTAGAGAAATAATCTTTATATAAAAACCTAGAGGGTAGAGAAATAATCTTTATATAGAAACCTAGAGGGTAGAGAAATAATCTTTATATACCCATTATCAAAGATCTGTATAACCACCTACAACTCATTTTTCCTGATAATTTTCACAAAAAATTGATTGCTGCTCAGCCTGTGCTTTCGTTATTCAATGACATTGTTTTAACAACCACTTTCATCAAAAACATAGAGATGAAATTTACTGATTAACATGTACCAAGCATTTTTAAAAATTCTTCATATCGGTTTGTAGATAAAAATTATATATATCCATAGTGGTATTTATTGACACCATGGCGTCGCTCAAATGACAAGTTCTGCTGGTTTCGGTTTCATGGAATCAACTGGACGTTCAATAAAACAAGTTGGAACAGAGTTCAGAACGTGTCTGTTTGCCGAAAAACTAATAAGTGCAGAAGGAATTCAAAATGGAAGGGAAATTTTGAATGTGACATATTCTGCTTTTATACCGTCTAATTGAGAGCAGAAATCTCCAATTGAGCCTCACCAATTTTAAGAATGACTAAAAGGGGAGACAACCTACCAATAATCAGGATTCTCTCTGTAATCATTCATAACTTGAGCTACCATTAAAACCCCACCAGCTTGTAATCTGGCAACTAGTTCATCTATTCTCGATTTTAATTCTGGCGACTCTGTAGGAGAAACTAGAAGACCTCTGATGAGAACCCTGGTCTTTACTCCTCCACGATTTTTTTATTCTGAATTTTTAATTCAGGTGGAAAAATATGAATTTTATGATTCAAATCTGCTGCTATCGTATGTCTGCTTCACCTTATAAACGATGGTTGCTGTTGCTAACGCAAATCAGCCATTTTATCCAATCATTTTGGTTTTCAATCCACTCTTAGCATAATTGCAAATGTTTTATTGTAAAAGCCATGGTCAGCCATATTGTCCAAGATAATTTTGAAATGAGCTCTAAACTGGTATACATACCTTCTTTATCTCCTTGATCGAAAACAGAAGCTAAACTCTGCGTCACTTTCTTTTTACTGGCAGCGTTCGACTTGGACTGAATCGATCTAAAAGTAGAAAAAAGTTGCTGTCAATTGTAGATACAATAAACAAATTTATTAGAGGTGTTATGCCTAAAAAGGTCTGCTATTCCATCAAAGAAAAGGGTTGGAGATATTGTCATTGTCATCTTGGCATTGATTGGACTAAATTCATGTCATACATTAGTAACGTCATTGACGTTCCTCCTAGTTGTCAACGCTAAATAGACAACGTCTCTCTAAATCCTACAGTCAATATTTTGACTCTAACTGTTGTTAGTGTAACTATAAATTTCTAAACTGTAATCAGGGTCTTTCAATAACACCTATTCTTATTTCCATTTCATCTTTCCATCAGCTTTAAATGTGCAGCCTGTAGCACACAAGACCACTATTATGACTTGACCCATATTCCATACCAACCCAAATGACCAGCATCACAGACAGGGGAGGAACTAGGCTAAGCAACTGTTTCATCAAGAGTACACAGCTTCTACAAACATAGCAATATTTAGAGTTGAAAATTTCAGATTGAGAAGTGCATTCCATTTACTTACATTTGTAATTTCTTTTCAACTTTTTCTGAAAAAAACAATTCAATTGAATATTTTATTCATAGCAAGACAGCAGGCTGTTATTAAGGGGTGGCTAGCCTTTCAAAACTTTCACCTGGAAACTTTTGTCCAATAATGTTAAAACGTTCATTTCACCCTAAAGCCCCAGGCTAAAATCATACTATCAAGTTATCTATTTTTAACTTACTTACCAGGTGTGTCTTCTGTGGGAGAGAATGGATCATATTCTTCTTCATCTTCAGATTTCACTGGTTTCTTGCTTCCATATTCATTTGTATTGGAGCCATGTTTCTTTGAAGGTGAACCATATTTCTTTGTAGCTGAACCGTATTCATTTGCCGGTGAACCGTATTCATTGGTAGGTGAACCGTATTCATTTGAAGGTGGACCATATTCTGCCATATTCATAGATGAGCTGAATTTATTTTTGGGTGGACCGTATTCGTTTGAAGCTGAACCATATTCGTTTGTAGCTGAACCGTATTCGTTAGTAGCTGAGCCGTATTCAATTTTTGGTGGACCAACCGAATGTGAAGCCATAATGAATTGATTCCGAGGCCCTGAATTATTTCCAGGTCCATACTGGTTTGGCAACGGAGGCCAGAAATTTCCAGGACCCTGGTTTGGAAACTGCGATCGAAAATTCCCTGCTTGATTTGGAGGCAAAGGACCCAAATTTCCTGGTCTGGGTACAAACTGATTTGGGGGTGGAGGTCTAAAATTTCCAGCCCCCATCTGATTTGGTACCTGACCAAAACTTCCTGTGGGAGGAGGGGGAGGGGGGTTTACATTTCCAATTCCAAATGGCCCTGGGGGAAAATTTCTGGGCATATAAGGTGGAGGTCCTGGGGGAAGTCCTGGAGGAGGTCCTGGTGGAGCCTGAGAGATATTTCCCGCAGGATATTGATTTGGAATAAAAGGTCTTGATCCATATTGATTCGTGGATCCAAGAGAAGGTGTAGGCGTAGAATCAAATCGATTTTTCCGCGTTCCAGGCTCAGATGAGTCACTTGATCCATATTCACCAGAAGTCCCGTAAGAAGATTGTTTGAATTTTTTAGACTGAAAATCACTTTCTTTATCAGGAGTTCCATATTCGTCATATTTCACTTTCTTAGTTTGATTGTCACTTCCCACCGATTCTGGTTTATCAAAAGATGAATCGTATTTGCTAACCAATTCTGGTTTATTAGTACTGTAACCATATTGGTTGAATAAACTAGATGTACTGCTGTCTTTAGAAGAGGTTTGTGATTTTGAGCTGATATCAAATTGAACTGGTTTAGGTTTAGATGAGGGTGATGATTGAGCTAATTGTTGAGTCTTTTTAACAGCTGAAAAAATAAAAACAAAATGATTTATCATCTGACACTAGCGATCGTGAATAAAGAGATTGTAAGGAGGTTTTTTCAATTTTTATACGCCCACATCTCTATGTGGATGTATATTGTCGACACCCTTATCCGTCCGTCCGTCGGTCCGTTGGTCAGTCCCTCCGTCAACATTTGCTTGTAAACGCTCTATAAACTAGATTGTTTGATGGAATCAAATGAAATTCATTATGTGTATACATATTCATTAAACAGAGATCAAGTTCGAATTTGAGCTATTTTCGACCGTTAGAATCAGAGTTATTGCCCTTGCCCCAAAATCTTGAATATGCTATTACTGTCTTAGTTTTCAACCGATTTTGATAAAACTTAAAATGGATGTTATTGGACCTAAATCGAAAGGTTTGAGAAAGTTTAGTTTACTTCTGATTAAATTTAAAGCTTTTTCAAGATTTAGGCATCTTACGTCAGTTTTGAGGAGTTATCGCCCTTTACCCTCTATACAGTAAGTGCTTCTATCAACATCAATTGCTTGTAAACACTTATATTGCTTGTAAACGCGTATATGGTTGTGGTCCACTATCTTTTATGCTTATCGTGGACACTGATAGCATCAATTTGCACTATTCCAATTTTCAATCAAATGTCTGTGGTTCCTGCAATTCAACTAAAACTAAGTGTTTGATAATGTCACTAATCGCAAATCATGCTCTATCCCAAAAGGCCCTTCACAATTAGTGACGTCAGAAAATGCTTAGTTCTTGTGGAATAGCAGGAGCCACACATAATTCTTTTAGAAAACATCTTTACAATGAATAGTATCAATGAAATTCTGACTGTCAAATCCCAGTACAAGTCAAAAGGTTACTTATAAAACCATAAGTTTATACTGTACCTTGATCTAGTAAACGTTTTTTATCTAGGGATGATTTTGATGAAGATTGTGGTAAAAAAGCTGTTTTTCTTAAACCTGGTAGTTTCCCACTGAAAAACAAAACAAAAAAGCAATATATTTATGATGCCTGTGAATGTATATAGTTGCTATAATTAATAACTTCACAATGTACCAGTTGATATAACTTCATTCAAGAAATCTGTCATATATTTCAGAATGAATCTGATATATTGTTGTCACGGCCACAGAAAATTTGTTACTTTCAGGTTGTTATTAATCAAAAATTCTCACACAAAGTTTACTAGGTTATGACGTTATATTTTTATAGGTTTGATGTTTGATGGCTTATACTCATTCTTGATTCTTCATTATTCCAGTCAACTCAGATGACAGATACTAGGAAAAGCCAACACAAGTCTATGTTTTTTGTTTATATAACTAGTATTTCATACTACATGAAACCTATCTTACAATGAGCTAGTCTGAGGTACAGAAGGTTCAGGGATGTTGATTGGTTGATTTTGAGCTGCGGCTGCTGCTGCCAATTTTTCTTGAATCTGACGTTTTTTCTCAGCTATCAGTTTTTCTTGATCTAAAACTTGCTGCCCCACTGATTTCTGACTGTTTTTTCCTTTATTCGAATTCCATTGACGAAAACTCATCTTGGTAAACTTTAGTTTTACTTCATTACATGTAGGCCTAATCTGAAATTAACAGGAAAAATATTGTTAACCTTTTTAACGTCTTTTTCTCTCTGGGAGTGAGAGTTATAGTCCACATCATACCGTCTGGAAGTTGTAAATGAGGAGTTGACGCTTCTATCCAGTCCACATTTTTTTTCTGGTAACGGTACAGAAGCTATAACTGAGTAACAGCAGTGTAGTGTTGAAACGTTAAGTGATTTTTACCAACATGATAATTTGACCCAGTTTGGACCAGTTTGCTGAGTAACTTCAGCTTAGTAACAGCATTAGCACCAGTATGGAATAACAATGAATGACAATCTTGAAATGTAATGCTCACAACAGTAACTATCTATCTCTCACTTATCAATATTGACAACACTATATAGGCTAATCAACAAGTCCAAGTCCAAGCCAAGATTCAACTCAACTCAACTCAGTTCAGATCAGACTTCAGTTTGTGTCCTCACCATAGACTACGGTTCTCATAGAGACTGACTGTACAGATTTGTTCATTGAAACTCTCAGATCACAGATCGCAATGGCAAGGGAAGACTAAAATCCTACCCATCAAATGTATAAAGAGAATTCCATGTTGTTATTAAAATTATTTGCTTTTCCTACGTTTCACCATTAAAGCCTTGAGCAACCAGTCGTTACTTTCACTGGTATAATCAAGGCTATTTTCAACCGGAAGTTATACCAACGCGTTTGTTATAGAAACTGCCATTGGTTACAGCTTTAGATATCATCCAATCAAGAGTTTAGGTACAGTTGTACGTCAGCTCGACGTTCAAGATGGCGGGAGCTGAAAGTGGATTCGTACTTTTTCAGCGTGGAGAGGTCGAAATTGAATTATTCTTACCATATCACTTGATCCATATCTTTTTTGAGAGACATTGGCTCGGTGCCTCTTTATGAAAATAACTTCAATCATCCAAAAAACACACCAAAGCCTTTCGGTTGCTGTTTTGCCAATCAGTTTTGTTCGAAACTGTATTTTGTTCATGGCCATGAATGATGGCACTTTTGCTGTTTCGCCCCCTCTCAGCTTTCCGTTGTGCTATTGATAAGAAACTTGGCATAGAGCTATCTATACATCAAAGCTTATGGGATTTTGTGGTCTTTGTATGGCAAGTATGTAGGCATGTAGTCTGTGTTTAAAAATGTCTTGGTTATTATCTTAGAATCTCATAATAGCTTTTCCATTCAAATTTTAGAAAATGTTGTTGTCTTATTACTTGTAGACTGATGATAGTGATGCCTGGGATGATACAGCTCTAATTAAAGCGTATGATGAGGCCATTGCTGCTGTCAAGGTAGATACCATACTAATACAAGAACTCAACTTAAAGGGACTGTAACGATGTTTTCTAAATGTTTTATGTGTATTTTATTTTACACTGATATCATCAATCTGCACCATTCCAGATTTCAATCAGATGCGTGTGGTTCCCGCAATTGCACTAAAACTAAGTGTTTGATAACATCACTATTGATAGGAACCACAGACGTCTGATTAAAAATTGGAATGATGCAAATTGATGCTACCAGTGCCTCCAATGCACATAAAATGCCTTACCTTTTCCTTATTATTTTATGATTTTCCCTTAGGTTTTCTCTGACTGAATAGAACGATTTAAACTTATATTGTCCAAAAATTTCATGTCAAAATTACCCCAAGGTTGAAAACCCCTGGAGTACATTGATCTTAAATTATATTTTTCAGTCTAAACTCAATGGGAGTGAGAATGATGAAGTAAATGATACACCAGATCCAATCCCAGTTAAACATGGCCATGGTAAAAAAAAGAAAAATAAACATAAAAATAAACCAAGGAAAAGACAGAAGGTAAAATTACAGGGCGGTGAAAATATCTAATATTTTTTATACAAAAACCAAACATTTTCACTGTTTAACATAGAACTCAATACAACAATTGTAGAGTCATATAGAGATATTTAAACAACTTGAAACATGTTGTTACTCAGAGAAGGAAATATTAATTCAGAACCTGAAACATGTTGTTATGATTGTATTTCTACAATAACAAGATATTTTCACTATTGTATTTCTTAATAGTGAAATATTGTGTTAGGGTGTATTGAGACGAGTCTCAATGAAAGCACTGGCCTAGGTCACAGAGCATTGTGTTATTGTATAATTTTATTTAAGTAATATTCTAAGGAATTGTAAAAGGCGAAAGATTTCAGAGTTTCACTTGCAATAAGCTTACAATAGATGTTTCGGCAGTTTTTCAATATTATCGGGTATACCCTGTTCTTATTATAGATCAGGTTTGAGTGTTTGAAAAGTTACACATGAGTTCTGAAAAAGAATTGAGAGTTAAAGATTTTTTCTTGGAGATAATATTAAAATCTTAATGATACATTTAAAATCTTGAGTTAAATTAATAACACATATTTCTTGGGAAAATCTCTCAAAAAAGGATGATCATCCCCTACCATGATATAATAATTTGAACCACAAAATTAACCAAGTATTAACGATCAGAACTGCAAAACAAAATGATGATAAATAAGAAAAGCCTCTGATATAATTTCAGTGGAAGTTAAATGATTATTGTCGAGCTGTATACAGTGAGGATGGTTATATTTATAATGCTAAGATAATATCTATAGATACCACTACTGATACTTGTATTGTCAAGTATATGGATTATGGAAATGAGGAGAAACAGAATATTGCTGCCTTATTACGACCTATAGCTCATTATAGTGATGATAAACTTACTTCAGCTAGTGAGGTATGATTAGATCATAGTAAAGAGATTGTAAAGAGGTCTTATTAGATATATTAATTTTTGTAAACTATATCTTATTCACAAATATATTCAAATATAAACATTAAAGAAAGGATTGGGGAACAAGCTGTCATATTTACATTAGCTATTGTTTTGTCAATTGGACTGATGCAAATTTGTGTAGCTTTTATATCACAATAAATGCCATTGCCTCATCACCAAAACATTAGGCGTAGTAATTTTAACCAATGACTTTGTTATTAATTGACATCATTGTATGAAATAAACAGTCTCCACTGTAAACAATCATGTCCGTAGTCCCAAACGTTGAAACGTAAAGAAATAGGCCCTACTAAAATACTATAGTCTTTGTCTCAAAATTAGAATGTCTTGAAAACGTAAATATAAGCTATAAACTGTTACCCTATGGCAGTTATGGTCGTTAACGCATATATGATTCATTTTCCAGCCACCCTTTGTCCTGATATACGACCATAACCGCCATAGGGTAACAGTTTATTGCTTATATAATCATTATATATAATCATAATAAATGATATGAAAAACAGAAACATGTTACAACTTTTTAACAACCAATTATCGCTATTAATGATAAATAGTTGTCACTTGTCCTTGGTCAAAAATACCATTTCCATTGAATTAGTGTTTGATAGAGAATTAAGATTGTAATATTCTAGATTTTTTTAATATTTGTATTTCAGACAGAAAGTCAAGATCAAGAGGGAGAGGATACTGGAGCAGCCAAATCAAATCATTGGAACATTCCTGGTTTTCATCCCCCGCCTCCTCCATTTCCAGGAATGATGCCAGTAAGTCTGTTTTCTGTAATACTTGTCTAATGATTTATTACTACAGGTGGATAAAGATTCTTAAGACAGATTCAAAACATAAAAGGGATTGTAAAGAGGTTTTTTAATTTTTTATGTGTATCAGGGACACTGATAGCATCAATTTGCACCATTTCGATTTTCAATCTGTAGTTCCTTCAATTCCATTAATAGTAGGTGCTTTATGACTTCACTATCGCAAAACCCTTATATATCTATAGCAGTTTTTGCTATAGTGAAGTAAAGCACCTGCTTTTAGTGGATTTGCAGGAACCATGGACTGAAAACTGAAAATTTTAATGGTGGCAAATGGATGCTGTCATTGCCCCCAATAGATTAATAAGAAACCTCTTAAAACCTCCCCATAAAAGTTCTAACCACAAGCAACAGTATTCGTGGTTTGAGGTAACCTTGCCATTAGATAATGTTTATTTAATGAATACCAGTTTTTCTATGTGTATATTGTATCTTGAAACTTGGCTCTTTTAATATAAAGTGTATCTACATGATTTTTTTTTTTAGCCACCGTTTCCTCCAGGTGCTGCTGGTATGTTACCTGGTTTTAGAGGTCAAAGATCACCTGTAAGTTTCTATTAATAGTTACCATTGTTAAGATTATTATTGTGAACATGTCTGGTAAAAACTGTAGTTCAATTGTTTGTCTTGTCACGATTATTTTGACTAAAAGAATTCTTAAAATTACGGTAATGACCCTGACACGATTTTTGTACCCACAATGCTTGGTTTTGGGACATTTCGGTGCTTCACAGGGGAGGTCAGAGTTAGCAGCTTGTTAGCGTACTGTAATGACTGTAAGTTCTGTTTACAACATAGCAAGTACTGTATTTCCCTTCACAATACTCCTTACATTAGTTCATAAAGACTCTAATCATTAGCACACCCCAGTGTATGTCATTGTGCAGAATCCTGATTTAGATAGTGCAAATCAGGCTCACTTAAAGATTCCTTGCACTTTTCATGCAACCTTTCGTAATGTTATCATTTGTTTTTATTTGTTGTTCCTGTCTTTCAGAGAATACCGACGATACCCCCTCCCCCACCCCCTTTTTATGATGATAATATAGAGAATGACGAAGATGCTCTATCTTGTATGTTAATATCGTGGTATATGAGTGGATACCATACAGGATATTACCAGGTAAGGGTCAGGGTTCATTTTTAGCCAAAATTAGGGGTCATGCGCCCTTTCCATGTTCCTGGAGACTTGATAAGCCATAGCAGGGTTGATGTTTAGCCAGGTATTTTGAGATTTGAGCGTCCCTAGACTAGAGTTTTGGAAGACTTGTTATAACTACAATATGAAAGATATTTTTGGCCAAGTTTTCCACTTCCCTGAATTTCTGAAACTCCAGAATCTAGAAAAGATGTTAATATATTTCCAGTGCCGGTAGATATCATACACTTACATACACCTCAACACCAATAGTCTACTAACTTTTATGTTGGTTTAAATTGTAATGAACTTACTACATATCTCTAACTATAAATCAACATAGATTATACCTCACAACTATTGTCTGAGCAAAGTAAAAAGTTTTTTGAATTTTTTCGCTATGTTTTGGAGAGTTGAAATATCAGCCTCAAAATAGTACTGTTAGTCTTAGATTGTCTTTGCCTTGATAAAAATATAATCTTTTGTAAGGTTACATTGAAACAAAACACATTTCTCTCCTAGAAAGTTCAATTCAAAAATGTCACCAATTTTAGTTGAAAATTGTCCTCTGTAAAAACAGATTTTGAAGACATAATGTGTGTTTATATTTTTATCAAAGCAAAAACATTCTAAGACTAACAGTACTATTTTGAGGCTGATATTTCAACTCTCATAAAAAACATAATGGACAAAATTCAAAAACTTTTTACTTTGCTCAGACAATAGTTCAATATTGCTTAATAACTGAAAAACAGACTTCCTCAAAAACATCCTTCATATTGAATAATGATGATGTATTTCTATTTTAGGGATTAAAACAAGCTCGGCAACAAACTAGTGGAAAATCTCATCACCATCATCATAATCATCATAGCCATCATGGTGGTGTTCGGTGAAATAAAATATGTTGAAAGTTTGGTGAAATATTGTGCTACACAGATACTGCTGATGAAACTTGGGTTGACTGTTTTACTAACTCTGTTAATACGGCCAAACCATGGTCAGTACGACTGAGTGGCAATCTTTGACAACTATATTTTTTAACAGATATCTTTATTTGTGACCTCGGCCAGTGTTGACGTAGGAATTTCTATGAACTTCTTCACTCTTAACACAAATTTTAATGATTAAAGTTCACATCAAATAATGTTGAATAGTTCAGAAGACATATATGTAGAGAAGAGCTCAATTGATGAGTTCCTGATTAATGGAATCAACTGAACGTTAAATAAAACAAATTGGAATATAATTCAGAATGTTTAGTAGGTGCAGACAGAATTCAATATGGCCGAGAAGGAAATAGATGGAGAAATTTTGAAAGTGACATATTTTGCTTCTATACCACTCGTTTGAGAATTTGTAATGACGGAATCTCTTCAGAACTCTTCAATGGAGCGCCACCTAGAATTCTTCAATAGAGCGCCACCTAGAATTCTTCTAATCATGAGAAGATGTAGGACAAATGCAAGAAGGTGAAATGAAATGTAATTTTGCCTTTGATTTTTGGTGCCAGTTTTTTTTTTTTTTTATAATATTTGTCAGATTTGACAGTGGAATCTTTTTAATGTAAATAATTTTGTGTTTTTTTTATCATGGGTAAAGTAAGTCAAAAGTAATAAAGCTGACTTACAATCAAGTTTATCTTGCAACGGTTTTGAAATATAGTTTTACATCAAACTTTTATGTTGGGCATTTACAGAGGTAAATAAAAAAAAATATCAAAACTGATTAGAAATTATGAACTATTTAAAAAAAACATACAATTCAATTATCAATCATTTATTGTCCTTAAACAATATATAATCAAATATACAGTGTAAAAAAAATATATTTAAACAGTTATCAAAAACTTAAGTATTAAATAGTCCTTTAAAATCAGCATACATAGAGTGGAGTCAGTAGCTTCCCTCGTGACAGGGAAAAAATAGAAGGCAAACAGACTCAATGACATGACAACTGTCAAGGTTGAATTTAAAATTTTCATGTGGACGTATAAAAACTATTGAGACCCTAAGAATCCAGTCTGTGTAGAGAAGAAACTCTGATAATAATACATTAGTTCATTAACTCAGTTGATACAATCGCTCCTGCTATTTCCGAGTAAAATGTCTATTCGGAAAAACAGTGGCTATTCTTTTCTCTCATGTGCAGGACTTCCGGAGATACAGAAATATAGCTACTAACTATTTTTAGGTATCCCCATCAGCACAGGAGTTGCAGGAAATGCCGTTAAAATAGAACACATATTATTTATTTTTACGGTATTTCAAACTGCGCAGGCGTTACAGACGATACAGAAAAATAGTCATAGACTATTTTTAGATATTTCATACTGCGCAGGCGTTACAGACGATACAGAAAAATAGTCATAGACTATTTTTAGATATTTCAAACTGCGCAGGCGTTACAGACGATAAAGAAAAATAGTCATAGACTATTTTTAGATATTTCATACTGCGCAGGCGTTACAGACGATACAGAAAAATAGTCATAGACTATTTTTAGATATTTCATACTGCGCAGGCATTGCAGTTTAAACAGCGCAGTGTCGGTGAAGATACAGAAAAATAATCACCAAGACTATTTTAAGGTATCTTATACTGCAAAGTTGTAGGAATACGTAGAAGTAGTCACAGACTATTTTTACCGTATATTTAACTGCGGAGGCATTCCAGGAAATGCCGTAAAAATAGCCACTGTGATTCCAAAAGCATTAGACTAGTTATCAACTGAAAACACTTTATATCGACATGAAAAATCCCAGAGAGTGAAGAAATTTGATTGGGTTTGGGTGTCATCAAACAGATGTATGTTCAAGAAGGCCGTCTTAAGACCCTAACTGAAATGCTTAAATTAAAAAAGATAGCTTGCCAGGCAAGGTAACATACGCCCACTGGCAGCTGTCAGAGATGATAATCTTTATTGACCAAAAATATATTAAAGATCTTCAATAATAATACAAATTTCTCATATTGACAATCTTCATTATGCATTTGTAGTTCAATAGCAATAACCCAGAAGCTTTACTTAGATCTCATTAATATATACCTGCATACCAAGTTTCATCAAGAGCCCCAATCATGTTTACAATTCAAATTTGATGTATTTTTACTAAGTCAAGGGTAATAACTCAAAAACCGTTCATGGAAATATCATCAAATTTGAACTTGACCGCCGTCTTATGAATCCCAATGCTCACACCAAGTTTCATTACAATCAAATGAAAACTGTAGTCTCTATTGTGCCCACAAGACATGTTGACGGACGGACAGGGGTAAAATAATATACGACCACATATTCATGTGGGTGTATAAAGAACGGAACGAGAAAGGTAGCCCACAATTCCTGTATAAAAGTTAAAAAGATTAACTGCTACAGCAATTGTAGATTAACCATGAATTTCATCTTAGTCTTTTATTCTTTCTCTGAACATTTTAAAACAGTTTTAGTTTTAGAATTATCTTCTTCAAATTTCAATTTTTTTCTGGCTGTAAAATATGATTTAATTGTGGTCTGTGTCTCCTCTACTTCACTTTCCTTTCTTTTACCTGAAAAATATTAAACACCCATCAAATTCCTTTAACAAAATCACTGTACAAAAAAGAGGAAACTAGTGAAAAATAAATTGTGAATAAGCGAAACATAGTAAAAATGCAAGATGCGAATACACAAAGTACCATTCGCACCTTCAAATATTGTATTGCCGCCCCCTTGACAACCGACTAATTGCATTACTACAACTAAACACCTTACCCCATTGCCCCTTGGATATAGTACTTCCTCCTCCCCTTCCCCCCCCTCCCCCCCCAACACCCAAGTTTTACCCACCTTTTTTCTTGGAAGATTTTTTCTCTTCTTGCTGTTTTTCAAATTTCTCAACTAAATCTGTAAATTTTGATTGTAATAATGTTTTCTTTATTTTAACTAAGATTTCTGATTGTGCACCTTTAACTGAAATAATAAACAAATATTTAACAACATTCCGGTGCTGCAGTCATAGTGGGTAGCCTCCCCTGTTACGATTAAAAAAATTCAAGCATTATGGGTTTGATTAATTGGTGTTTCTAATGAATTATCATGTATTCTTAATCATATCATTATGTTCTTATTGCATATAATTAAGAGTTTTAACCAATCATAAATGTCCATGTATGTACAGTCTGGATAAACAAAAAAAGACCCTTTGACCTTTCTTGATCGGTCACTCTTTAGAATTCTGCTGGTAATTCTGTTCTAATTTAGCTAATTATGAATGAATTATGGACATGTGAGACAAACTGGTATTTTTCCAAGTCATTAGAACACTTCTACTTTCTATTCATATAAGTATTAGCATTTTCATATTTGAAAATAAGGGAACCCGTCTTTAATAAGTAAAAAGCTCAAAATTTAAAGAGTAACTTACTAGTCGTGTTAAACTGTGACTGTATTTTCCACTTCACCTCATAACATGATATAAAATTATCTTGACAACTTCGAATTATTCTAAAATAACAATTGATTATTTTGCATTCTTTACTTCTCGTGAGAGTTTGGCCTTCTTTAAACATAACCACTGTGTGTCTTTTAAATAAATTTAAATTCTGATCTTCAATTAAAAGTGGAAAAGTCCAAGTCGTGTTGACAATGGTTCAGATCATAAGTTGGTCTAAGTTGTCTTAAAGTTGTCCAGGTTTATTTCGCCAGGACATCAGCATAAGCCTTCTCTTTTTTCGATTTCCAAATGTCAAGGGATCTTTAACGTGCACAGCCTGTAGCACACAGGGCCTTGGTTTATTGTCCCATCCGAATGTCTATACACTTTTTCCATGTCAGCCCCTCTTACATACATCACTGACGGGGGGAAACCAGGTTGAAAAAAACAGAAGTTATTATCTCGACCTATGCCGAGTTCAGTATTAAAGTGAATATGAGGTAATAAAACTTACTGTATTGGAGTTACTATAGAACTGTATCGAGGTAAAATATCGTGTAAACCTTCATAAACGATAGCTGGTATGACAACCTTCATCATATCCTCAGTGTCCCACTTTAAATATTTCTCTACCACTACAGTTAAACGTCTAAAATCAGGCAGACGCCATTTCAATGTCTTACCACTGATGAGACCTTTACTATCTTCTTTTAAAAACTCTTCAACAATCTGGATAGAAGGAAAGTTATATCGCAGGCACCTGTTTTTATCAATAGTCGACTCTCTTTATATATATACCATCATAAAGAGAGTCAACTATAAATAGAAACAGGTGCCTGTGAGTTAATTGTAATAGGGCCCATTCTCAGCGACATTTCGCACAAAGAGAATAGCAATCGAGCAGAAAACGACGGTGTCCTGGACCTGTCCAAGCTATTCCATGTGAAAAGGTGGTACACTTGGAACACTGACATCATCAAAATGGCGACCATTATGTTGATCAGATGCCAATGCAGTATGGGTCTCGGTCACACAACAGGCTGTTAATACACAACAGGCTGTTAATGCACATAAGCCTTTTTGAAAAAAATTTGCTAGCCTGAAAGACTAACTCAAGACACAAAACAACATTTAATAATATTTTTTATTTAATAACAAATTTATTCTGATTCAGAAACACTAATATTGTTAAATTGTTTGTGTTATACAGGAAGAATATTTTGAAAACACTATTAAATTTAAGGCCGATATTTTAAGATAGTTGAAAACACTATATCACAATGGCCATCATTCTCATGATAAAGTCAATTATAAATGCAGTGGCTAATGAAGCAGTAATGTCACAGAAGCTGGCAGTCATGTTATAGTGCACACATCATGCAATATCGCAATCAATACAACAATTGTGCTGAACATATTCTGGTCATGCCAACGGAACGGGCCTCTATTTTCTGCACCTGATTGGATTAATAAAGACAGGCAATGCCTTGTGTGCTGTTATTCTCTTTACTTTGAGAAATAACATATTTACAGCAAAATTGATGGTAAGTTTTTTGTGGAACAAGGTCAAGCACCTTATACCAAAGAGAAATATTAAAAAGTTCCATACCTTCTTATCAGGAAAATCAGGGTTTTTTAAAGCTTTATCACAGATATCTAATTCTTTATGATGGGGCTGTATTTGGTTGTAAAGTCTGTGCCAGTCACATGAACAGTCTACACTACTAGCTAATATACAGACTGTACTTGTTTTACACATACTGCATCCTGATTTCTTGTGGATATCAACTGACCCTAGGGACAAAATTAAAATAAATATATTTAATGTCCTTTAGTAAGTGATGCAAGAATGTCTGTAAGACCCAATTATAAAAAATAGAAAGATCATTGCCAAGAGGTTTAGCCAAGGATTGCTGGTAGACATGATTCTTGTGAGCCAAAGTTATTATCCATGAAAAAAATCATTACTTAGATGTTTGACCAAGGACAAGCTGATAGAAAAAACTCTTGCAAATCTTAGTTGCTGTACTTGTAAAATCATTTGACCAAGCACCAGCTACCGGTAGCCAACAGGATCTTGAGAATATGGATTGTTTGTTATTGTAAAAAAGTGGTAGCCTCTTTCAAATGGCAACCATAGAATATTCCTTGTAAATTAACGTTACCTGTATGTAGACAATATTTACAGTGTCTATTTTTAGTTATTTTAGTAAGATCTGACTGTAGGGTCTTCCATTGTTTTATTTCTGTACTGTCTCTCCATGATAATATTCTGAAATGGAGGAAAATCTTGTCACCCATCATCCTCACTAAAGCACGTTTAAATCAGGAAGGTACTTTATAAAATGCACAGAGAAAATCTGGTCAAATTTGTAGACTAGGATATACATAATTCGCATTAGGACTGGAACGATTCCTAAAGTGGCGATCCGATACACAAACGCTACTAGATCAAAGATACGATTTATTGCGATAATAAATCGCGATTCCTTGATTAAAAGGGAAAGAAAAAGAGAACTGATAATTAATAACATTTTAACACAGTTTAAATTATTTTTGTACGATTAGAAGTACAAAATTCACTTTTCATCGTTTGTTACATACACGGACTACCAAATTTCTTCAAAATAATAAATAAAATACCAAACCATTGGCAGATATCTCAATTGGGAATTGTCGTCGTAATAAACGGGAAAACCAAATGACTTCCGAACTTCAGATTTATATTTAGCCTCAGCGTTTTCAGTTTCGATTTTTTTGACTGGCCTTTTCACCCACAGTGATTTTTGACATAATTTTAGTCTGACTTTAATTGATAACGATGTTGGTAGAGATGATTTCGAGCTAATAATTCATAAAATATTTCAGTGTTCAAATGTTTCGACAATAAGGTAGGCCTATATTCCACGATATTCTATTTCCGGGGGCATTCGAAACCATGATCTTGAGAACCAGAAAAAAAAAGATTTTCGACCGAAAAAGCAAAGAAATGTCATTCCGTGTTTTGTTGTTAGTAACGAGGTCATAAATTGCGTTTTTGTATCATATATATTTTGGTTTTATAAAAACGTATTGAGCTGAAGAATCTAATTTCCAAGAGCGCTGTATCGAATAAACAGCTTCGTGGAATTATTTTATGACTATGCAAACACATCTTACGTTAGAAAAAGAAAAAGTTTATATCAGATCCCATGCGTTTATCTTCCACTTGGCATATTAATATGTTTTCATTTCATCATTTATAACAAAAATTGAAAACGCTGAAGACAAATTAATACGTGAAAAGCAATTTTTTAACATTTGAACATGACACAATTTCTAAAATACGGGAGGATTCCGTGCTATCAGTCGTTATATTTATGAGAATCCCACCGATATATCGCGATTATTTTCTTCTTCCGCAATGCATCGATAAGAAGGAACGAATCGCGATTCATCGATTCAACGGTGAATCGTTGCAGCCCTATTCGGCATTCTCATTAAGGCAGACTGTAGTTAAATCAGTTAGAGTGTTAGAATCTAGACATCATTTGTTTCCTGATGTCAAACATGAGTTATAATCTGTCTCAGTCTGAAATTTGATAGAGTATATACACAAGTAGAAGTGCCTTCTAGTCAACCCAATTTTAGATCAAGTACCGTACGGATAATCTTTAGTTTCAAGGTTATCATATTTGGAATTTCCTTGAGCTTCAATATTTAAAAATAAAGTAGACTAACCGAGTTAAGACATCATTATCAGTAGATTTTAAAGTTTGTATAAAACTGAGTGTTTTTTTCTGTCCTACCCCCTGGACACCAGCCTCGTTGTAATCACAGCCTGAGAGTAAGGCATAAACTATTAAATCACGACGGGCCAGGTCAAGTTTGTCTTCTATTGTCTCTAGTCTGTATCTTTCTATAGTTGAATCCTGGAATGTCGAGGATATTTTACGTCAAAAATAAATATTAACATAATAGGAATTAATCATTTAAGCAATAACCTGTTACAGTTTGGGGGTTATGGCTGTATATTAAAGATGATGATAAGTTAACAATGATAAAATGTGGAATGGAAACTTAAGGAGTCTGTTCTATTGTTTTACTTAGGATTTTGCTATCCCATAATTCAACAGGTATTACATGACACACTTTGATTGGTGAAAAATACTATTATTAGAACAGGACTATGGTAGAAAATTTGTCTGATTGAAATGCCAAAAGTACTATCTCCTCAAATGTCAAAAAACCATAAAATAAAATGATGTTCAAAATTGCCATATATATTTCAAATTCAGCCTTCAGGGTCTAACTTTATGTTATATTCTGTATAGTGGTCTACCAGGTTATAATATAGCTAGATTGTATGGTCTAAATCTTTCCAAATAAAGTATTCCACTGTAAATCAATCCAACTGTCAAAACTCACCTTTTTAGTCTGGTCGTAATTTCTATAGACTGTTTTGGCTCCGTATAAAAAACAATCACCATCATCTGATATACATCCATCTACTTTCTAAAATAATATATGATACAGTAACATACCATAACTATTACTACACTACATTCCATTCCAATATTATTGGATTGAAAGATAAGAGAAGAATATCTACCCAAAAATTTCATGAGACAAAAAATTACCAATTACAATTGGTCCAACCTTTACATGGATACAGCACCCCATCACCCTAACCCACAAGTAAATTAATAGATAGACTTACCTCAGAAGAATTTAACCAGGCAGCACCCCATCACCCTAACCCACAAGTAAATTAATAGATAGTCTTACCCCTGAAGAATTTAACCAGGCAGCACCCCATCACCCTAACCCACAAGTAAATTAATAGATAGTCTTACCCCAGAAGAATTTAACCAGGCACACATTTGTTCAGCCTCGCCAGAGTTCACTATATAAGGTAGCCCCAGGGCTTCTATTAATTCTATACACTAAAAAATACAAAACAAAATTAAATGAAGTAAGAGAACCGGCCCTTTAACGTACCTGAAAGTTTTAACCAAATAAATCCAGCCGTTAATTTTTAAACGCCAAAAATATTTAAAAATATTACGTAAGGTTTTTAATTTCCATATGCTTTTTGGAAGTTGTTAGAAAACTAGTATACGGATTTGAGTAAAATAAACGCCTAATTGTAGAGAAATATGTCTCCTATGCATTCTAAAGGTTTAACAATTAATAATATCGAGCCATTATAAAGCCAAACACCGAAACTAGGTCAAACTGCTTAATATTTTCAGGTATAATTTATGACGTTTTTAAAAATGAAAAGTTTTACAAAAAAGCCGTATGTTCCTTTAAATCAAATGGAGTTTTACGTCTTTTACGGTTTTTTTATTGACCAATGAAAAAAGACGATGTGATTCTGTGCACAATGAGAGATAAACTTACTTTTTTAGAACAAGTTGTAAATTTCTGACGTTCGGTACTACTGCTGCCACTGTGTCCTAGTTGTTTCTGTCGTTTTTCGAGAACGGTAGATTTAATATCAGGAGCCGCTCCGTCCAGTACAAACACTGGTTTTATACCATTTCTTATAATATTGACTATTCTATACATCAGTGTCCTGAAATATAAAAATAACTCATCATATCCTAGAATCAATGTTAGAAGATAAGAACCTAGGATACCCTAGAATCAATGTTAGAAGATAAGAACCTAGGATATCCTAGAATCAATGTTAGAAGATAAGAACCTAGGACATCCTAGAATCAATGTTAGAAGATAAGAACCTAGGATACCCTAGAATCAATGTTAGAAAATGAGAACCTAGGACATCCTAGAATCAATGTTAGAAGATAAGAACCCAGGACATCCTAGAATCAATGTTAGAAGATAAGACCCTAGGACATCCTAGAATCAATGTTAGAAGATAAGAACCTAGGATATCCTAGACTCAATATTATAAGATAAGAACCTAGGACATCCTAGAATCAATGTTAGAAGATAAGAACCTAGGACATCCTAGAATCAATGTTAGAAGATAAGAACCTAGGATATCCTAGAAACAATGTTAGAATATAAGAACCTAGGACATCCTAGAATCAATGTTAGAAGATAAGAACCCAGGATATCCAAGGATCAATGTTAGAAGATAAGAACCTAGGATATCCTAGAATCAATGTGAGAAGATAAGAACCTAGGATATCCTAGAATCAATGTTAGAAGATAAGAACCTAGGATATCCAAGAATCAATGTTAGAAGATAAGAACCTAGGACATCCTAGAATCAATGTTAGAAGATAAGAACCTAGGACATCCTAGAATCAATGTTAGAAGATAAGAACCTAGGATATCCTAGACACAATGTTAGAATATAAGACCGTAGGATATCCTAGAATCAATGTTAGAAGATAAGAACCTATGATATCCTAGAATCAATGTTAGAAGATAAGGCACTAGGATATCCTAGCTTTAAGATCGTTTCGTAAATATGTTGCTAGGGTTTCCCCTATATTACGCCTCTCCCTTAGTTATACAGAAGCTGACAGAAGGTTGTCAGGTTATTGACTAACATCTATACTAACCTCAACATGAGATGTGTTCCGTTGACAGAAGCCGTTTTACTGGCAGTCAAACTCTGTACAATCCATCCCGAGAGATCGATAGCTACCGTCAATCCACACAGCTCTGATAGTTTCATATCTTCTTTAACTGATTCTAATACATCCCATAATTTACTCACACCCATAGCAAGTTAGTGTGGTCCAACTTCACAGATCACTTGTCATACCCTTGTAAGCCTGTCAAACAGAAGACCTTTCCATAGACCTACCTTAGGCTTAAAGGCATGCAGTTGGTCTTTCAGTTTTAATTGCTGTAAAAAAGAGTGAACAATTTATAGGCTACCAGGTAGACAATTTTGATTAAATGGCACGAATATGCTCCGTCCTTCTGTTTCAAGAAATGCTGTAAAAAGGTAGGCTACTACTCTCTAGAGTAGTCTCTGACTTCATTGAGGCACTGAGCTCTGAATTGAATTTTTTTCTCGTTTCATAAATATTCAAATTACAATTTTCAACTGAATACCATTTGTCTTAAAATGTCTTGGATCCATAGAAATAATATAAGGTTCAATGATTTTACATTTTGAATAGAAACACTTCCCTCCCCGAAAATTTCCGTGAAAATGACCTACCTACTTTTCAGACTCAAAATAAATGAAATGAATTGAGTTTTACGTCCTACTTTTCAGACTCAAAATTCCCCTCGGTAAAATCTTGTTTACAAATAATAACTTTTCCCGTGGTTAACATTTTCATCAACCCAAAGAAAATGTTGATATTTCAATTCACTCGAAAATGATTGGCAAAATGCAATTCAGAAATCATTGTACTCAGAGAGTAAAGTCCACGCCCGTGAAGCAGATATAATTTATAATGCCAATCATTTAAACAAAGACCTAACCAGTGCTTTCAGCTTTATGATATGAATATCCTCCATTAGTTCAAATATCATAAAAGGCTTTCCCCCATATTGGTTTCCTGTGAAATTTCCTTTATTTTTTTTTTTTATCAATTTTGTAAAAATAAATAAAATGTCAAAATGTTTATTTACATTTCACATCTTGGTAAAGGGAGCTAACTTTATTTATAATACTGTAGACCACAATAAATTAATGATTTTTTTTTTTTATCTTCAGCTTGAATCTGCCTAATGATTCTGAATAATAGGTTGCATTTTTCAGGTGCACGGCTTCAAATTTTAAATTTAGCATGAGTTTACGGATGTGTGAATTAAAATGTACCATAGGCAATGTACTATTTTGATGCTGATATTCCAATTCTCATAAAAATAATGAATAAAATTCAAAAAACTTTTTACTTTTCTTTGCTTAGACAATAAATGGATTTGATAAGAAATTGAACATAAGTGAGAGAATTTAATACAACAAAATTTAAATTAACAACAAATTGAGAAAAATTACCGTAATGGTAAATTGGGAAGTTTGTAATGAATTTGTGAAACATTTTCAGTAAGTTTGATCTAATATTTCAAACACAGATATTTCCAGAGATATTGAAACCAAACAGTATACTGCTACTGCTATTTGATTAATTTAAAAGGACAGGTTTGCCATTTTCAGGAGTTGATTTGAGTCTTTAATATATGTAAATAGTCTTCAGAACTACTAGAACTCCCTGAAAATCTTGCAACTAGGAATTTTACTTTTCTATAGATGTCTTTTCTATATATGACAGTGTCTCAAGAAATGAGAGTTGTCATTTGAACTTTCTGACACAGATAATTCTGGACCTACATGGATTTGAAGGCTAAATTTCGACAGTGAGCTGTAAACACTATTACTAATTAGCTTGGCTAAATCATTCCTGTTTCTAAGACTAAAGTATGATTGGTCAACAGATGGTGAACCTGTCCCTTTAAGGTGTCATGAAAGCAATATATATATGTTTTAAAAAGTGATATCTTGTATATCAAAATGTCCCCAGTTGAGCATTAATATCATTGTTTCCATGGCAACATCAAGATTCAGACTCAAGTGTTTAAGAAAAGTCTAGATATTGTTTAAATAATATCAACTTTAATACCAACTTTAAATGCAAACTTATTGTTGTGAGCAATTCATCTCCTTGTAAAGTCCAGAACAAATATTTTGTACATATTCAGAGTTCAATTTAAAACACAAATATCAGCAGTCCATATCATTTGGTAAAATAAATAGCAATTGCTTTATAAAATATAGATAATACAATTATTATAGAGTATGAAGACTGATTTCTATTTTATTTAATAAAGATTAAAGAATCCTAGTCGAAACGTTGATTGAATAAATATCAGGAATTAAACTCTATAAGATTTGTGTTGTCTATGTTCAACTACCTTTACTAAATGTCATTCAAGAATGAATTGTAAAAGCCTAAATATTATTCTGTTCATAACCACACCAACATGTGCAAAAATTTTTTTGTTTGACGATACAGAAATGGACACAGTTCTCAGCATTCAAAACAAACAGTTGAATAGAATTTGAACAAAACGAACATACAACAATCAAATTTCAACAAAACCACACACCTCTAGTATCTTTCTATTGTATTAGTATTACTATCTAGTAAATATTTTGGCACATTTTAAAGATATCTTCTTAAAGAAACACTACCTTTTAGAATGGATATAAAATATAAAATCTCAAACTTGGTCACAAGTGTATATATTCATCAGTTAGAATTACCAGGTGCCATGACTAAAGAATAGAATCTCTATATAACACAATATATCTATTAAACTAAATAATTATTCAAAAACACTTATTACTACTTAGTTTTATAGATTTATTGGATTAAAGAGAGATTCTGTTGTATAGTTTTGATACCAGGTAAGTCCACTGATGAACATAAGACTCAATTCAACCAAGTTTAAAAATTTCAAATTTCTGTTCATCCTAAGAGTCCTATCATCCTCAAAAGCAATATATTTGAAAGTTTTCTTTTTCATCTGACGAGACGATGAATAGTCTAGTTATTGATGAGGTGCCATCTCATTACACACTTGTTCCTGGTCCATTCCACCCCCTTTTAAAAAATAACTAATTTTGTTACTAACGAAAAATGACTGTTAAAATATTGATGCAACACCAGATCCTAGATATAAATGATTGGCCCAAGCGCAACAAATTAATCTATTCAACCATTCAGCCACTTCAGTTAGGGTCTAACGACAGCCTTCTTGAATGTTCGTCAAATTAACATTTTGACCTTACCTGATAAACACCGCTTCGCAAAATGCCAGCGCTCGAGAGGGTGTAGAAATTTGATTGGTCATCGCGTTAGGTCAAAAGGTTGATTAGAGAAACGTTCAAGAGGGCCGTCGTTACACCCTCATTGAAGTGGCTATATTAAGAAGAAAAGCTAATGAAAAAACTGAAGGAAAGTTTGGTCTAATTTTAATTAGATCAATTTTACTTATATTTCTTTTTGTTCTTGGTGAAAATGTTTTAAATTTCGTGAGAGTACCAGATCTATTTTTAGTATAAATAATAATAAAAATCTACAATACTTTATTTCAACAAAAATAACATCACAGGGGAGGTAATCCAGTTCCTTCTTCACAAAAGTTTTGATAAAATTCTTTGATCAGTAATTCTTCTTATACACATTATCAATTGTAGATATGTGTGGCAATAACTCGATTTTAGACGAACTGTATCCCGACTTCTAATAAACAATATCTATCAGTATCAGTCATGGCAGTGATTCTCAAGTAAATTTTCAAAATTTTGGTGAAGAAGAGAAGAGATTATTTTGGGTGGTTTCAAGACATCTCTTGAACACGTCGACAAATCTCAGTGGTAAACTGGGAACAAGTTGTATTTCCTCCTAAATCAGCTGTTAGATGCTGAAATAAATAGACAGAACCATTTTCAGTTATATTTAGTTCTTACTATACTTTATCAATTCATAAATATAGTTATGGTGGCGCTCGATTGAAGAGTTTTGAACAGGTTCCGTCTGTTCCAGTACCAAAACGGTATGAAAGCGGAATAAGGTTATGTCACTTTCAAAATTTACCCATCTATTTCTTTCTCTTCCATTTTGAATTCTGTCTGCACCTATTTTTTCGGCACACATGGAACGCATTCTGAAATCTGTTCCAACTTGTTTTAATGAATGCCTGGCTGATTCTGTGAATCCCGAAAGTGCAGAACTCAACAATCGAGTGACCCCAACAAAGAAGCCATATAAAATCTCTCAACATTAGTGTGCACTATACAGGCCACATAATTACTAAAATTATTACACAAGCAGCCTGTTTTTACCATCGTTCATTACCTAACCTTTATGTCCTATGCATTAAATCATATTACAATGATATGAGGGTATATTACAATGATATGAGGGTATATTACAATGATATGAGGGTATATTACAATGATACATTTTGAGTTCAAAGGGCTAATACAGTGAAAAATATCCCCTGACAAATATCGAAAACAAGTGGTTGCCTAACATGATATGCCCATTTCCCTGATAAATTTACAGTATATCAAGTATATTATAATTTCCTTATTGCACACTACATCGTGTTGCTCCTTATCAATATACCTTATTCACACCTCGTTTTTAAGACACTGAAAGCGAGGTCCGTAACAAAAATTACGTAATTCATTGATAAGAGGACATCGTCATATGAATGAATACTTTATGTCATTAAACACTCCCTGAACAACAAGAAAATGGGCTTAAAACTGCCTTTTCTCAGAAATGTGTGAAGGTAAAATTCATGTAAAAGTATCATTAAATAGTTTAATCAATTCCAAATATAATGATGTAAAATATTAGTCTTGAGTTAGTGAGATTGGAGAAGGAGGCTTTAAAGACGTCAAGGTGGCGATTTTTATGCAGAGACATAACGTTAGCTTTCAAGGTTTGTGTTATGAGACTGGTTCTGGATTCAATATGGCCGACGTGTGAATAAGGTCTATAAGACAATCAAGTGTAGAGTATTAGATAGTGAAAGGGTGTATCAATATTGATATTAACCGTAGAAATATAAATATGAAGTGATAACTTACGTTTCCTTCTCTAATAACCTCTAAACATGACTTCTCTATTCTACGGGCGTGGTCGTTTAATTTCATATGTCTTAACATCATGACAGCGCTCAGTAACAAGGCTGTAGGGTTGGCTTTATCTTGACCTGCTATATCAGGGGCAGTACCATGTACCTTTAAAATATAGCACAATATGTTAGTGAAACGCAATAAATTTAACTGCCTTGCCCTGGGGGAGTACCATGTACCTGTACAATATTTAATGCTATAATATTTCAGGCTTCTGAAGTGATACCCAATTAACTCAACTATCTTGCCAGGCTCTATTTGCTGCTGCAATAACGATAATAAATAAACTCAACAAAGCTGATTTTAATCTTAAATTTTCAATTATCATTTTTTTAAAAATTTAACGCTGGTCTCAATAGCATTATTGGTGTGTAAATTGATCACGTGACAAACTGAATAAATAAGAAGTCTATTATGTATGTTTGTGGTGTGATCAATTGAAAGGAGTGATAGTAGAAATGTAAATGTTACCCAATACTATTCATGGTTTTCAACTTACTGATTCAAATATGGCTCCTTCACTACCAATATTACCACTAGGTGTCACTCCTAGACCTCCGATCAACCCAGCACATAAATCACTGCAAAAGATAGTGAACTATTTTCAAAATTTATTCACATGAAAAATGAAAGAGATTGGGGAACAGGCATTCATCTATATTCTCAAAAAGCGTTCATGTTACTAACACAAATGCTTTACAATACATATTCATTGAATTAAGGAAAGGAAGTTCTCTCTTTTTTTCATTATGACCATACAAAACTCCAATTTATGCCATTTTCATCAAAAAATAACTATTCTGCCCAACTGTGTTATCATTTTTTCTGATAAATTTTTGAAGGAAATATTATTTGAGAGTTGTCAGATTTCAGAAATGATATAACATTTTACCTGAGAATATCACCATATAAATTAGGCATGACTAAAACATCAAATTCACTGGGATCTTGTACCATCTGAAATAATAAATAATAATGACGTGCAATTATATATAGCGCTAAACTTCACAAAAAAGTGTGCTCAGGAAGTTTATGCTAATCGGTACATTTGTGAGAAAATTTACCTTAACTGATTAGGCTAATTATCCTCATGGTTCCAAATGAGGTGGTTAGGCGATTAGATGGCGGCATGTGGAAGTTCAACAATAATAATAATAATAATCAAAATAGATGACTTTCTTTTGTTGTCAGCGGTGGCAACCATATTTCCTAATCGCCAATATCAAATTTAGCAATTGTAGACCACTGCTAATCGAATCCAAATTGCACAAAATTGTACTAGCAAATCATTACCAAATTAAATCGGTCGACAAAAAGGTCTAGAGTAACATTAGCCCACTAATTTAGGAATGATTTTCTTCAATAGAAAGTGTTGAGGTGATTTGTGTATATTAAGTGAGAGGTTTTGAATCTTTGTTAAAAATATTTTATGATCCCATACTCACATTTAAACAAACAGTATCTAGATACATCTCTCGAAATTTAATATCTTTATTTTTCTGTGCCACATCTCGGCAACATTTTAAAAATAACCCATCTGACATTCTCCTGTAAAACATTAAAAATTAACATCATAAAAACAAAATCTAAAAAAAAGGGATACTCAGTTGACTAAGCCGGCATCAAGTGACATTTGGGATTGAGTTTGAACCGCCTAGTTAGCGACGCCTGACTCAGCTATTATTTGACATTTGTATCAAGGGTAAGTTTGTGTTGCCAAGGAAGCGACGCCTGACACAGTCAATTATTTTTGTATCAACTATATAGAAACAGGCCTACTCAAAACTATAGTGGTCTAGTCCTAGTAACTTGTTGATCAAAGTTGACAAACACATAGGTATAAAATATCATTTAAAAGGGTCAGGAAATCATTTGTGTAATGTTCTTAACTAGGTACAATGATTTTTCAATACCAAATAAAAGCGACTATAAAAAGTTTACGTTAAACCTTTTTTGACAGTTTTTGTGTTTCAAAAATGAACGGCAAGATACTTTTAATTTACACTTTCAAATAAGGTAAACGACATATTTCTCTAGATTTTTGGCTAAAAATTTCTCAAGTATACCTACATGATATTGGCTTTATGGACAGCAGTAACTGTACTCCTATCATTGTTTCTAGCATATTCAAACGCATACTCTGCTACCCGCATTGACGCTTCTTCTGTGATCAGTTTAATACTCTGAACAACTCCATCTACAATCTATAGACAATAAAACGATTAGTGACGTCATCAAACACTTTTTGTGGAACTGAAGGAACCACAGACGTCTGATTGAAAATTGGAATGATGCAAATTGATACTATCAGTGTCCCCTAAACACTTAAATTTGTTAGAAAACCTCTTTACAATCTCTTTAAGCACATAAATAATAATAATAATAATAATAATAATAATCATACTGTATGTTCTATACCACTGTATTCTCCCTCTGTATTTTCTCGTATAGTCACAATATCTACATCATCATACGGTGTTTTATAACCTTCGATAGACTTACATGGTCGTACATTAGCATACAGGCTGAAAGCTCTGAAATATTTAGATTGATAATTAGTCAAGGGAAATAAATAATGATACAAAATTATATGCATACTTGATTTGATAAAACTGTCCTGGTTACAAGTGTCTAAATCTTGACTTCAACATTATTGGTAATAAAATCATTTTAATGTGACAAAAACAGTTCTGAGATGAAATGAATGAAGTTTTACGTTCTAATTTTCTGCACCTAATGGGCAAATGAAGACAGACAACGCCATGTAGGATACAATGAGGGAAATTTTGCCAGGACAGGACATGTGACCTAGGTTTATTGTCCCATCTGAAAGATTGGACGCTTTTCCATGTCAGCCCCTCTTACCTGCATCACTGACAGGGGGAAACCAGATTATGCCTAGCAACAGATGCCCACTTCCCTTATAGATTTTGACACATTTTTACTAAGTCAGCAGCAATTGTAAGCCTATGGGATTGAACCCTGGACTGTGAGGCTAATGCACAATCGTCTAGCTCACGGAGCCACCATGGCTCCCGCAGACAGTTCTGAAAATAGCATCCAATAAAATGTAAGACTTGATATGCAGGCATAAAAATACAATCTTCTTACTTTCTTAAAGCTAAATTTAGAGACTGATGACCCTTTCCGATCGGAGTAGCCAGTGGTCCTTTTAATCCAACTTTAGTTTTAGCCATAGAATCAAATACAGCTTGAGGCAGACGGAATTTTCCATCAGGTCCCTTCACTGGTGTCACATCTACATCTTCCCAGTCTAATGGTGCCTAGAATAGAATCATTATTGGTGATAAAATCAACGAAAAAAAACTAGAAAGTTTAAATTGGCAGTTTCAGAAGAGTGGGCCATCTCTGCCTTGCTGGTGAAAACCACTGCAGTATTTAATATACTGGATTAAGGAGTCGTCTGTTAGAATTAGGTACCATAGGTTCAAAATCTACTCAGAGTAAGAAAAATTCTGACGGAACAGCCAGTGTTTCCGAGTCAGTCTGGTATCAAATACTACTTTTGTTTCATGATTTTAAGGCATTTTTGGCATGACAAGAATCATTCAAAAGAATCTCAGCCGCACAATCATCTGCCTATAGATCTATTACCAAAGATTGAAAGACTTACATCAGCAGCTGCAAAGATCTGTTTAACAGCAGCTGAAATTTCTGGCCCGATTCCATCACCTGGTATCATGGTAACCCTCTGAATCTATAACACAAATAAAAAATACTGTTAGGAAAATAAAATTTACACCACGTAGTGCTTTGAGATTCCAATCCAAGAACCAAAATGACTGTAGCCTACATGAAATATTCTAATTATTCCTTTATCCTTTGTCAAATCTCATGCCAATAATATTACATCAACCAATTCACACCATATAGCAGGGTAGTCCAAGGCATCTGTCTTTATTCCAGCCTCTGAGAGCTATTTTGAAAGTTGGTGGCTTGAGTTCCAGATGACAACTTTCAAAATAGCTCTCAGAGGCTGAAATAGAGATGTTTCTGTATCACAGCAGGTAATACACTAAATTAGCTTTGAAAAGGACATATCAATACAAAACCTTCAATAATCTAATTCAAGATAGCTATGATACTTCCAAATGTGCTTATATCTCTATATCTCTTGTAAACATGGTACAGAGTATTAAAGGCATTGATAGCTACCAGTATTCTATGAAAATGGATAGTCTTAGCAGTTTTGAAAAGGACGAAACAAAATACAACAGATGAGTAAGATTCTACTCAACTCACCCCTGATGAGTATAATCTCTGTACTCCATCTTTAGAATTCAATATCTACAAGAACAAAGATTAATTATTACCTATTGTCAAATATTATACAGTATCATTTTAGAATCAAATAATATTCAAAAATACTACAAGACAGGGTTTTACGTCTTCATCTTATACCTTGACTACAATGGCCCACTTTCTTCTTTCACCGAAGTTTGTGAATGCAGCATTCATGATTGAATTCTAGGGTACAAGATGAAGACAAAATACCTTGTCAACTATTGTGAAGATGCCAGTAGAAATACAAGGTAGAATGACTTGTTTCCTATCAACACAACCAACCCAGATTCTAGAGTTGACCCCCCCCCCATCTTTTCTAATCTTCTAACCAGCGGACTCCTTCCTTTTTGCCATTCTCATTTGCCAACTTTTGCCAGAATCATTGATTGAAGCAATCAATTCTGAATCAGTGTCCAATGTCGCTGGGTTTAGTTTGGAATAATTTAGACCATTTGCACCCCCACCCCCGTATTCACTATGCCCCAATGTTCCAGAACCTCAAAGGTAAAAGAAATAGTTTGATAAAAGGAATGAAAAAGGATAGATTTCATAATGGAGTATCGTAGTGACCTTATAAGGTATAAAGTGGCCAAAGATTTGCCGTTGGAGGTTTGCAAAACCAAGACACCAACTTTTGATGATTTTGACCAATGATTATTTTGCAAAATCGTAAGATGGACAGAACCAAATTCAAAATACATTTAGGATGTGAAGACACTAATACTAATCTTCTTTTCAAATATCTAAAAATGTTAAATTCATGCTTACAGGCTTTGAAAAATGCCGAAAAATCGTCCTGATACTTTTGCCGGCCATCGTGACCTTGATGACCTTAGCTACGATGTACTCGCTTTGAAATCTTTTCTCGAGATCTTTCGTAACACTAACAGTGTACTTCAGAGACGATTCGTCATACGTAGAGGGTCGGTTCGTAATATGGAAGAGCGTTCAGATTTTGTTTTTCCTGTTGATGTTTGGAAACTTTTTATTGAAATTTGAAGTAATAAATCCTTTTGAACAATTGTAATACAATTTGAATATCTTCTAAGGTCTGCTGAAACTTCCTGAACACTTTTATGTGTATCATTACACCCTTCTTAGTGTCTCATCAGATCTAGCATCCCTTCTATGGATGATCGATTTCAGGCCCGTATGTTAGCAGGGCTAGTCCTATTTCTGGTTGGGGGGTAGACAATGTAAGCAGGGCTAGTCCTATTTCTGGTTGGGGTGGGCAATGTAAGCAGGGCTATCTCCCCGTTTCTAGTTGGGGGTGGTCAATGTAAGCAGGGCTAGTCCTATTCCTGGTTGGGGGTAGGTAATGTAACGAGCGCTAGCCCTATTTCTGGTTGGGGGGTAGTCAATGTAAGCATTACAAGCCCTGTTTCTGGTTGGGGGGTAGGCAATGTAAGGAGGGCTAACCCTATTTCTTACAAGGTATCAGAATACATTGATCACTTTTTACTGCCTCTTACCTCAAAACATCCTGCCTATATCAAAGACTTTGTGGAAAAGGTAAAGAAACTCGTGATCCCAGAAAATGCCCTTTTAGTCTCTTTAGACGTTCAAAGCATGTATACTAAAATTGACAATGATTCTGGATTACGCGCTGTAAAGCAGGCATTCGAGCGAAAGCCCGATCCTGATAGACCAGATAAAGAAATTCTTCAACTTTTGGAAATTTGTTTAAAACGTAATGACTTTACTTTCAATGAAAATATTTATCTTCAGGCTTCAGGAACTGCCATGGGAAAACGCTTTGCGCCCTCTTATGCAAACATTTTCATGGCAGAATGGGAAAGAGACGTTTCACTCCTCTGTCCCAAACTACCAATTTTTTATGTAAGATTTCTTGATGATATTTTCTTAATTTGGACTCATACAATAGATGAATTTTAGGAATATTTTGATACTCTCAATAGCCGCCACCCTTCTGTAAAATTAACTTCTAATATTAGCGACAAACAGATTGATTTTCTAGACACCACAGTTTTTAAAGATATCAATTTTCATGAAACCAATCAATTATATATTAAAGTTTTTTTTAAGCCCACTGATACTCACCAACTTTTATTCAAATCATCTTTTCATCCTAAACATACCTTTTCTGGCATTATAAAGTCGCAGATCTTGAGATTTCACCGAATTTGTACGCGCAAGAAGGACTTCGAGGAGGCTTGTTCAATTGTTTTCCAAAAATTGCGCGAACGTGGATATTCTAGAAGGTTCTTGAGAGATATTAAAAGCTCAACAGTTGCTGAAATCTCTGCTAAAAATAATTCGATTCTTTTACCAATACCAAATTCTTCAGTTTATCCTTGTAACAACCCTCGCTGTCAAACCTGTCCCTTCATTTTACCAACAAATTCTTTCCGAAATAGACGCACAGATTCCATATTTCAAGTAAATGAAAAACTCAACTGCAACAGCAAAAATATTATTTATCTCATTTCTTGCACAAAATGTAACGAACAATACGTTGGGGAGACAAAAAATTCGTTAAGGGTCCGTTTCAACCATCATAAGTCTGACTTCAACTTAAAAAAAATTAATAAAACCGTTTCAAAACACTTCAATCAACCCGATCACCAATTAACAGACCTGAAAATTATTCCCATTGAACAGATTTACAAACAACCTGGCATTGATACAAAGAAAATTCGACTCATTCGCGAAAATTATTGGATAAACAAATTACAAACCATGTATCCTTTAGGAATGAACATCCAAGTTGATTTCCAAATTATACCTTTTGTTATTCAATACAACATCACAGCTGGTCAAGTTCCCCGAATAATTATCCGTCTTTACAAAGAATTGCAGGAAAAATTTCCAACAGTCTTTACAAATGATTTAGTTATCGCCTATACCCGTAATAAAAATCTAAATGATATCTTAGTCCGTGGTAGATTACCCCCCATCCCCCTTCCATAGGTTTAGTACATTTCCTTTAATTAATATTTCTTATTTATGATAACTTGCAATTGAAAAGTTTCCTCGCAAAAATATCATACATGTATACTATTTTCACTTAATAAATTATATATATTTTTTATATGAAATACGCATTTTCCTTTTCATTTAATATAGGACAATTCCTCAGTTTCACCAGTAAAAATGTTTATTATTATTTCCATGGTTATTAATGTTCCTGTAAGAACCAGTATTCTTCTTATATATTTCAGATTCTAGATTTTCATTTCAAATATTTTATACAGAATTATTCACACAAACAATACTCTCTCACTAGAGGTTACGCCTACATGCCTGTGCCTGTGCTTTCGTAACATTGCTTAACTGCAATGTTACAACCTTAAATTCCTATTTCTGGTGGGGGCAATGGAAACTTTGTCAACATAAGACGACGCCTGGGGCTCAACACATGTTTAGCTAATAAAAAATTCAATCTTAATGAATTAAAATTATAATAAAACATGAAGCATAAAAAGTAAAAAATATTAAAACTAAAGATGGTTAGACTAGATACAATGGTAAAAAAATATTAACTAATTATTGAACACAATCTTTGGGGAAAAGTTTGTAAAATATCGACGAGCACAATCAATTATATAGTTGAACAGAATTCGTCTCATCTTTACAATGTCAAGCTATTGTGAACTGTATCTAATACCTTGACTGCAATAGCCACTTTTTTGTATCACGGAATGCAGCGATTTGATTGGATTGTGAAAAAGAGGCAATCAGAGCCGTCAACAAAAAGAATGTCATAATGGCTTATTTTTTACTAACTTTTGTCGAGGATTCTGATTGGCTATTTTTCGGTAGCGTACATTCCAATCAAATTGCTGCATATACAAATTTCTATGATTTAAGATGGTGGCTATTGCATTCAAGGTATGAGAAGCAGTTTGTAATAGCTTGACATCAACCCTACTATTCTTTTGTTAACATGGAAGTGTGCCATTTTACTTGGTTTTGAAGTTTCTATATATTAGTATAAAAGCAGAATGAAATCGCATAATATAAAAAAAAGAAATAAACAATAATATCAAAGGGATATATCCATAAAATAATCATTTTATCAGCTGGAGAGAGTTTAATTTAAGTACTATTTATATAGCCCTGTGCCAGGAGTAAATTGGTGTAGGGGCTTGGATTTTGTGCTCAGGTGTAACCGGGGAGGACCCCTCGACGTGAAGCCCCACAAATTCTATGATCTGGGTTTGCTGGGTCTTATTTCACACTTGCTGGGGCCAATTAAACTATGGTCCTTAACAACACATTTTTTATTGTAGACTTGCCAGATGCCAGATTGGAAAGGTAACAAAGGTTACTAAAATAGTCTAAAAGCAAATATTTAGACTACTAAATCTATCTAAACTCTCTGAGCTGGTAAAATAAAAAATTACACGACTATCTCCCTTCAATATATAATACTATAACGGTTAAATGTCTACAAAACGATTAAATAGATAATAAATACAATAAACTTTGATTGCACATTTCACAACTCCATTTTGCATAGGTAGAATATATCAACTATTATAAAACGATTAAAGGGATTGTACAGAGGTTTTTCTCTTGTAGTTTTAGAGGAATTGTAGGCACCACAGACGTCTGATTAAAAATTGGAATGGTGTAATCCCCCATACACATACAAAATTTAGAAAACCTCTTTACAATCCCTTTAAATTGGAACATATAACAATACTTTTATTATTTTTGGCAATCTTCCCAATGTCAAGGTATTACGAACTGCATCTAATGTCTTAACATCATAAGGCACTTTTCTTGTAGCAGGGAAGCCTGTAAATACAACTATTTGATTTGAGTGAACCCTAGTACATCCAATCAGAGCCATTCACACTTACAGCTAGCTATATTTTACTTTCTGTCAAGGCCTCTGATTGGCTGTACCCAATATCATACAATTCAAACAAATTGCTTCATTTACTAACTTATCAAAGTTCCTCATGATGTCAAGGTATTAGACACAGTTTGTAATACCTCGATATGGTGACAATGATTTTTTTAGAATGTGTTTTCTCTTTTATACCCTTACCCTTGGATAGCTTATTTTGATTACATTGTGGCGATTCACGAAGTTTAAATCTAGTTGAATACCTCAGTTTGATTTTAGCATTGTAATTTCTTTAGATTAATTCAATTTAGAAACAAAAACATCAGGATAGCAGATATAATGTAATTTACAATAGTAAAGTTTTTAGCTTCATAAATAATCATTCTACACATCTATAGCAGTTAAGGCTGACACGGAAAAACTTCTAGTCGTTCGGATGGGACAATAAACCTAGGCCCTGTGTGCTACAGGCTGTGTACATTAAAGATCCCTTGTTGGAAATCGAAAAGAGCAGGCTAATGCTGCTGTCCTCGCACACTCATTGCATCCTGCATGGCGTTGCCCGTCTTCATGAGCAAACATGGTACAGAAAAGTAGGACGTAAAACTCCATTTCATTCCAGTTACACATCCAAGAATTCAAATCACAATAAGGATATGAGAATAAAATTGCCAAGGGACATTGCTTACAGCCCTGTCACGCCAGAACGCTGTCACACCAGAACAGCGTTCTGACTGAGAAGCTATGGTGTCATAGAATTAGCTGAAGGTCGCAATAAGCACAGTATAAGCGTTAAGGAAGCGTCAGTTACCATACGATCAGTCTCATTGTGGCAATAAGATTGTCCACGAATTGAGAAAGTCATCTATAAACAAAATAAGAATGGATTTCACCACGTCAATAGATATTTTATACGTTTTTGTCATGTTTGCCAGCGACCAGGTTCATGTTTAGTCGCTATAAGATCGCAAATGTTTGACGGGCTATGAGGAAGAAATATGAAGCCAGTAAAACAAAGCGGAATCTGGAGTAAGAAAAGAAATTTAACGCCATCCATAAGAAGTCAAAACACAAAGATGAGATTTTGAGAATAAAATTTTTACAGGACGGGTGTTATTCGTTGCTATGGTAAAGATATAAAGCCAGTAAGACTAAAAATAATGCCACGATAAATAACGGGGGCAGACTGATATAAAATATAAACACCGAAATCAACGTTGTCAACAACATGGCGGACGTTACTATAAATAACCTGGTGATGTTACTGCCGTATTTCATGACTAATGACATAATTAAACCATTTAGTGTCTGAAAATTATAAAAGAATATTTACATTAGCTATTATTTTAATGACACTATGTGTGGTGTTTATATCACAATAAACGCCCACTGCCTCATCACCAAAACATTAGGAGTAGTAATTTTAATCAATGACGTTGTTATTCATTGACATCATTGTATCAAATAGACGGTCTCCAATGTAAACAATCATATCGGAAGTTGCACACTCTGTAACGTAAAAATGGGCCCTACTTTAACTCGTACTAAATATTTTTCGATTTTTCTGATTTTCAATAGGGTTCATCCTTGGGTGACTGCAAACAACCATACCGAGTTTCATCAAAATCAGTCAATAATTGTGCCATCCAGAGTGTTTACAAGCAATTGTGGACAGATCTACAGACAGATATATGGGCGTATAAAAATTATGTGACTGGTAGACAGACTTCAAGTGTTGAAAGGGTTAATCTTACTGAGCCTAATGAATAAAATGAATGTTGAAAGGGTTACGAAAAGGTGTTACCTGTGATATCACTATCAACCAAGTATAAGATGTAAAACCATGGAGAAATCCTTTCTTATTTTCAACATCTTCAACACCTGAAACTGTGACAAGGGAGATAAGATACGATAAAGTCTTGTCTAGCCGAACCACTTTGCTATAACTTTTCATACAGTCCGAAATTGATCATAGATACCAGAAACAAGTTTTTACATGAGACAGGTAGGTCATCTGTTTGACCAATCATACTTTAGTTTCAGAAACGGAATTTTTTAGCCAAGCTATTCAGTTATAATGTTCACAGCTCACTATCAAAATTTAAGTCTTCAATCCATGTGTCTAGAATTATCCATGTTTGAATGTTAAAAGAAGATATGTCTCTGTCAAGTGTCTTTTGTCCGTCTCCCACTAACTAAGAAGTAAAACCTCTAGCTCCATGTTATAAATTATTAATATATCTTACCGATATCTAACTGTTGAGGTTTGGTGGAATCAAATGATGTCTGTATTAACCAAACACTTAAATTAAATACTATACCAATTATATACAATATTATATTCTGTATGTGTATCGAATACTGAAAATATCATTAAAACATGGTTATATCAATATCACCTGTTAATATTCATCTTATATTCTTTCTGTTAATTCTAAAAACTAATTAAACTTTACTACTCTAAATAGCACTTAATTAATATTTCTTATTTATGACCTGTGATTTTTTTAGTTATACAAATATTCTCATTATAACAAATAGGTGTTCTAAATGCTTTATCACACGATAGATCGTGATTACTGATATCATCAAACACTTAGTTTTATTGGAATTGCAGGAACCACAGACGTCTGATAAACATACAAAATTTGGAAAACATCTTTACAATCCCCTTTAATATTATTTCAATTTTGATACAGAATAGTTTTTAGGCACTTTTCTCACCTACATATCTACCTTATTGATTCATTTTCAATAAGTCAGCCTATGAAAATCTTAAGACCTTTAATACAATATGTATATCAAATTCTTTGTTAAAGTCAATATGTGAACATTATTTTATAAATTTTGAAGATCAGAAGTGAAATAAAAAATACTTGCTAAAAGTGAAAATAAGAGAATTACCTTAAAATTTTTCTTGAAAATAAATTCAGTATAAACTCCAGCCAGGCCAGATACAAAACAATAACTAGTCATTAATAATATTCCTGTTATACTTAAATAAAGATGAGACACTGTGTTGGATTCTTTCACTCGTGATCCACTTAAACTGAAAATATAATACAAGACTTATTACAAACATGACTTTAAATATCCATCAACAAACAAACATCATTATTCCATTGTCACAATCCAACTCAATATTCCACACCAATATAGGGTAATATACATCACAGAAATTATTAATCGAGGGCGGAATAGGAACTGAAAAGTAATTTGCGCCATATATAAGTGAACTATTATTATTATTATTATTATTAACTTATTTACCTGTCTATAACTCCAGCTAAAGTCAATAAAGCTAAGGAAAACCATTTAATCCTGGATAGATTCCTGTAGAAATAAATTCACATGTAATTCAATTTATTGTCTTTATCTAACATTGGGGAATCTTTCACTAAAACATCAGATATAATCAATTAACTTCACCATAGTACTTATTGTAGTGGAGCTCAAATTCTTTGGCCTAGAGAGCTTAAAGGGATTGTAAATAGGTTTCCTAAATTGTTTATGTGTGTTAGAGACACTGATAGCATCAATTTTCACCATTCCAATTTTCAATCAGATGTCTGTGGTTTCTGCAATTCCACTAAAACTAACGTGTTTGATGACATCATTAATTGTTATGGGCCTTATGTGATACAAGAATGTTTTATGTTCAGTGACCTCATCGAACACTTATTTTTAATAAAACTTATAGGTTGAAAATAGACAATCCTACCTTTTCATGATAAATCTATAGAGTACCGCTGTACTGGCTATCTTCATATTGCCTAACACCTGAAAAATATAATTCCTTTTTGTATAGTTTTTCTATCTCGACTGAAGGTTAAAATGATTTATACCGAAGTCTCGTAATTTCAACCAATCACAGTCTGTCATGCAGAATCCATGTGTGGGATAGCAAAACCCAAAGAATAGCGATATGAATTCCAATGATGATGAATACTTACTTGTAAAAGTGATTATAATTTGTTGGGAAAGTGGTGTGTGATTGGCTGTAATAAATAGCTTGTAGTGCCTAGCTATCCCCCTCTCCCCCTCCCCTTTCTCTCTGGCTATGTAAAAGAAAAACATCTGCTATCTTGACATTTTCCTTCAAAACTTTTTATGAAAAATAGAAGCCTCTTTCCCCATGCCTTTCCAATACAATTCAAGATGTCAGGTCTGAAGGCTGTTGATTTACCTCTTGATCTTAAAATCTATCTAGAAATATTTTTATAGTTTGAAACAACAAAGATATTTGTAAACTCACATGACAAGATTTTGTAGCAAAATAATATTTTCTGGTCAAAAATCAGACGTCTGCATCAGTACAAATAGAAAAATTCATACCTGATAAGTTGTGGGGTCCATTTCTTGTTGCATCAATACAGCTGTATTGTTGTTGATGGTATAGAGAAATGCAGGAACGATGAGGGCCACACAGAATGACCACGGAGGAAGTTGAACGCTTCTTTTTAATATTTCTGGGATCAGCATTATTAACGATATACATAGCTGAAACAGAAGACAAGACTGTCAGATACACTTGTTGTTGTTATGGCTCAGACAATGCTTTAAAAGGATTGTAAATAGGTTTTATTAATTTTTTATGTGTATTGGGGACACTAATAGCATCAATTTGACTATTCCAATTTTTAATCAGAAATCTGTGATTCCTACAATTCTACTACAACTAAGAGTAAGAAAACTGATGTATTAGGACATAGAACCACACATATAATTCGAATGCCACTTACTTTTGATATTTCTATGAGAAGAACGAGGGAAGATGATGAAAAAGGAAGCTGACCCTCAACTTGACACAGATGAACTAATGGTGAATACGAACTGTACAAACATACCCTAGAAAATCAATATTCAGCAGTGTTAGAAGTTAAGACCCTATGATATCCTAGAAACAGTGTTAGAAGTTAAGACTCTAGGATATCCTAGAAACAGTGTTACAAGATGAGACTCTAGGATATCCTAGAAACAGAGTTAGAAGTTAAGACCCTATGATATCCTAGAAACAGTGTTAGAAGTTAAGACCCTATGATATCCTAGAAACAGTGTTAGAAGTTAAGACCCTAGGATATCCTAGAAACAGTGTTAGAAGTTAAGACTCTAGGATATCTTAGCGTCAATTGTCCTGATAAACAGCTATTCTACTATTCCTCTCCATTCTCAAGTGCTTTTAATTCTTACTTACTCAATAATCAGCAGACAGATCCATAATATTTTCATCCTTCCACCATTTCTATTTTCTGTCAGTTTTTCTTCTATTTCTATTACATCATAATCAGGGTTGTTCTTCTAAAATCAGTCAAATATAGTCCAGATTACCAGGGTTCAATTTAGATTAAAAAATTATTACACCAAACTTCAGTTTTGGTTAATCCAGTTATTGTTCGCATCTCATAAAAATTCAATCACGATTCTAAATGTTTTTTGTTGTAAACTTCAGAATGATCTTGCCAATGACGTTAGTTCCTTAAGGTTATAGAAACCGTCAACAGTTGCCATATATTTCCAAAATTCTCACGAAAGATATAGAATTTGATTTGATTCAGAGATCTTCACGAATCATAGGAAATATTGCATCACAAAAGGAGGCATTTTGACACACAAACTGCAAGCAATACAGCTTGAAATAGAGTAGTAGAGATCATATCCAAATATGCAAGCTTCAACATTCCAATTTTTAATCAGACGTCAGTGGTTCCTGCAATTCCACTAAAACTAAGTGTCATTTACTTCTCTAACCACGAAGGTCCTTATTGTATGTGATACAAGCAAAATTCGCGATTAGTAATGTCATCAAACACTTAGTTTTAGTTGAATTGCAGGAACCACTGACGTCTGATTGAAAACTGAAATGTTGTAAATTGATGCTATCAGTATTTCCGATACACATACAAAATTTTCTTTTCTGATATTCGAGTCCATATTCACTTTTTAACTATCAATTATTTCAGTAAATTCACTATTGTCTGAGCAAGATAAAAGTTTCTTTTAATTATATTCATTATTTTTATGAGAATTGGAATAGCAGCCTCACAATAGTACTGATAGTATTTAATACATCAATGCGAAGACATTCTAAGACTAACAGTACTATTTTGAGGCTATTATTTCCATTCGCTTAAAAGATATAGCAAAAAAAGAAAAAACCTTTTGCTTTGCTCTGACTATAGGTTCCAACAGACTGAGTAGAAGCCTTAGTTTTTCAGTTGAATTCTTATTTATTATTATCACTCAGTTTAGCAAGTTACAAAAATTCTTAGTGTAAACAAACACAGGTAGTAAGTTAAAGGGACAGGTTAGCCATGTTTGGGGTTTGATTTGAGTCTTGAATATATGTAATGTATATGTTATCTTACAAAGATTATATCTGTAAATAGTCTTCAGAATTACTAGAAATGTACAAAAAACCACATAATTCCTTCAAAAATACTTCAAACTAGGAATTTCACTTTCTATTTCTATATATGTCTTTCTTTAAAAGACAGAATCTCATTTTATCGTTCAAACGTGAGCTGTAAACACTATTACTGAGACTAAAGTATGATTGGTCAAACGGATGACGAACATGTCTCTTTAAATAAAAAATCACTGTTAAAGATTAATAACTACTCAGGGGATCAGGCCCCAGGCCACAAAACATTTCTCAGCTTAGTTTTAACTATTGTGCCCCTTTGAAAATTGATGTGATAAATTTTATAGATTAGGGTTATTGAAAGTAACTGTTCAATATAAGGCGCGGTGTTGGTACAGGGTTAGATAACCATTGTGGAATAGATTAATATATTTCTTCCTTGATACAATCAGTTATACACCTGTAATAGCTGATTCAAATTGGAGTAAAATCTCAGCAAGTATTTAAAAGTTTTGTGGCCCCAGGGTAAGCTTATGTAGCTACTTCTATTGTTTTTTCAAGAAATTACTGAATGTTCATGGTATACTAGCCCTTCCTTCATTATTAACACAATTATTTGTTATTTATTTCATTATTTGTCAAGTTTCAAAATGTCATAGTTTGAAGAATATCACTTTTTTTTTTTCTATTTACACCCCCATGAAATAAAAAATGAGTCAATTAAACGATTATAACAGTTCTTATTATCTCTGACATTATATCAACATCACAAGGTTTCACATACAGATGAGATTAAACCAAACTCCATCATTTTGCAGAGAGGTTTAAAGGGACAATCATCATATTAACATTCAAACGCCGATAATTTTGGTCACAATTGGATTTTAAGGCTCAAATTTCGACAGTGAGCTGGGAACACTGTTAATGATTGGCTTAGCTAGAAAAAATTCCCATTTCTGAGACTAAAGTCAAAAATGAGATTAATGTGTGCCTTCTCTATTCTATTTTTCAGGATACATTCCTATTACATAAAAAAACAGTGTACAAATTTCTAACCCTGGGTCTGTCTGTAAAATATGATTCCAAATTTTCATGACTAGTAAAAATGATAAATTTCCACATTTAGGGGTTAGGTATTAGGTGACTCTCGAAAGCACTAGCACAGGCATCAGAATTTTTTTTACCTTGAAGAGAAATTCAGGTTTTGGTATAAGGGGGTGAAAGCCGACACCAGGCCGACTCTCAAAAGCACTGGCACTGCCATCATAAGTTTTCTTATCTTGAGGAGGATTCGAACCTACAGCACCTAATAACCTAGCAGACAACAATCCAACTTGCTACCGACTGAGATAAACCATTAATCTTCATTACTTTCCCTACTTACCATTTCACAATTGAGATTTTGGAATACTTCAGAGGGAAGCAGTAACTTTGTATTACTAAGTAGCCTACATATAGGTTAAATAGTGAATCTTATTAACTCTCTCACCTGTCTCATCTGTCTCATCTGTTGCCATTTAAAGATGGCGGTTGAAGGTTTCCCGTTTCTGCAACTGGGATCATGATGAAACTTGATCATGGATCTACTACCATTAAAGATTTCTTTCTATCAAATATCATCATAACATCTGTACCTCAATATTTATTACCTTGATTATAAAATAAAATAATGATTCACACTTTTATCTTTCATTACCAATCTTCGCAATGTAAAAGCCGTCTTCATTAGCCCACATGGTGCAGAAAAGTAGGACGTAAAACTCCATTCATTTCATTTCATTTCCACAATGTAAAGCTAATACGCACTTCATCTAATACCTTGACTGCAATAACCACTATTCTTGTATTTTAGAATGCAGTGATATGATTGAATTGTATGCCAATTGAGGGAAGTGTATCTATTTAAAATGTAAACTCACTGAACCTTATATTTCTATATTTCTTAGGACATTCTAAGACAAATGGCATACACCAAATAAATAATAACACTATTATGGATATACTACTCCTTTCTTTAATTTTTGCAACATTTCAATTCACATTTGAGGAAAAAATATTCAAATCAGATCTCAATGTAGTCAGAGGTGCTTTATTTTTATCCGAATTTCATGCTTATTAAGTCCACTGAGAATCAAGACAGTATAAAATGTAACAAAAAGTGTAAGAACAGAGTCTGAAGCAGAAGTCGTTACAGTTTTATGTCATATTTTGGACAGAATGCATTCTTTTATTTGTTTACTTTATTGCTTCGTTTCGGTTTAACATACTATTTTTGAGTTTATGAAAAATTAATCGACACGAAAGAAAAATTCAAATTTGAATATCCACTGAAAATAATATTCTAATTTGGTTGTTTTTAATCTTTATCTGTCCGTTTAGGAATTGATGCCTATTATATGAATTTTGCACCGCAAACATTCTTTTTTTCATACAAATTGGATTTCATGTTAGTTGCGTATTTTTATAGCTCTGCATTGAAAATCCAAGATGGTGGGTAAAAATCTAAGCATGACAAATTGATATTTAGTTTTCTATTTATCAACGAGATCAAACTTTGAATTAGAAAAGAACACAATTATTTCAATGTACAATAATGTGATGTGTTAATATTTCATTGTATTGGAATGATTAAGCGTCGCCACTTGTAATATTTCATTGGCAAACTTTGCCGGCAGGTCAGCTTGAGAAATGATAATGCAAATTTGAAAACATTTGAAGCCTTCCCTAATATATTTTGTTTGCATTTATGTGAATGTCATTTTACCTGTGTCTGTTAGTGCTTGATAAAGTTACATGTGGTTTTGATGTGTGTGTACCTGTGGCTGTCCTGCAGTGTGTAGACAACATCTCGGTGGTTGATCATGGACATCGATTGAAAATTGGAATGTTATTATTTACAAAACGAGAGCAAGATCTTGTTCCCCTTTCTTCTGTTGTAGCCCCGTGATATTTTAAAATTCCTTAATTTTTTTTGTTCAATACTGGGATCCCTGATAATGTGTGTTGACTTTACTCAATAACCAAAGATAATCAACTGGAATCTATTCGACACTGCTGTTAACTTGATATCAATTCTGAATATTTCAGGCTCGAAGATATGATTCCAGAACTACCATTTTTTCCCCTGAAGGTAACTCATTTTTCTCATTTGGACTTGATTTGAAGAGACAGGTTTGCAATCCGTTTGACCAGTCATACCATAGTCTCAGAAACGGGGATTGTTTTGGCTAAACTAATCATTAACAGTGTTCACTGTCCAAATTCGAGCCCAGAAATTCAGAAGAACCATTGCAATGTTCTCTGACTTTCATTCAATTTGGGTGAAATTAATCATTATTATCCATTACAACTAAAAGCGATGTTGTGATTGTAAACATGTTAAACAAAGAAGATAACTCTTTAATATTAGAAAATAAGACTACAATTAAACATAATATATGTATGTAATAGTGTTGCAAACATACAGATGTAGAACTGTAAAAGAAACATAAAGAAATAATGTATTAATTACAGGGCGGTTGTATCAAGTAGAATATGCTATGGAAGCTATTGGACATGCAGGAACCTGTCTGGGGATTCTGGCTAACGATGGAGTTCTTCTAGCAGCTGAAAGAAGAAACACCAATAAATTATTAGATGAAGTCTCCTTCTCAGAGAAAATTTACAAACTTTATGAGTAAGTATTGTCACTTTCAGAATTATCCTGATTTTTCTTTTCAAATTTATTTATTTACACACTTGGCAACAACCGACAAACCCAATAGCAAGTTAAAGAACTTAAAAGTGCTGTGCCTGTGCTTTGTCATTAGTACAAAATTACAATCTATATATAACAATTGCAATCTATACCTATGACATACTCAGTACAGTTGGGTTGACTGGTATAATGAGGAAAGATGCATTATTTAGTACCTATTTACAATTGGGTTGACTGGAATAATGAGACAAGATGACTTATTCAAGGTTACCAGACATTCACTCATAGACAGATTTAAACCCACAGCAATCATTTGTTCCACTTTACCAAGATTGCGACACTCTAACCAACTGTGCTACACCCTACCCTGTGCTGGGTAGTAATTCGTACTGGTGTATTATTTTCAGTGATATGGCTTGTAGTGTAGCAGGTATAACAGCTGATGCTAATGTTTTAACTCACGATCTAAGACTTATAGCACAAAGGTAATTATTTCTTAATTATTATTTATTTTACTAAATATGTTAGTTTTGTCATGAGTTATCTTGTGGTGGATCTGGTTACTTCAAAATAAACAATAAACGAAATATCTTAATATTTAGTCCTAAAACTCTCTTGTATCTCCTTCCTCCCCCTTTCCCACTTCTCTTTCCCCCCTCCCCCCCACACTCCTTCCCTTCCTCCCCCCCCCCCCCC